TCAGTTTGCCACGGAGATGCACGTGTCCCGTAGAGGACCGTGGGCCCTCTCATTTGAGACTTGCCATCTCATTTGAGACTTGCCATCTCATTAGCTTTGCTTTCTCTCGTTTATTCCGCGTACGTCTCTCGCTGCCGTACGTGACGTGGTCCCTGCCGCCAAACTTGCAACGCTCCGACCGAGCGCCGGTCTCAGATGGACTTTCTGTCTAACCGTCTCCGCCGCTCCTCAATGGGCTGTTTGTCTCGGTGGCGCCTGCCGTAATGGATTGGAATTCGCCTCCCTCTTCCCTTCCCATCACCGACCCCCTCCCTCCCATTCCACGCCTAACTCCCGCTCACAATCCCCAAGCACGGCGGCCCCGGCTTTAGGGGAGGGGGTTGCTGGTGGTACTTGAATAACGCTACGCAGAGGTTTGCGGCTGGAGAGCGGGTGAGCGAGAGAGGGGGGGGCGGCACAATCGCGGCCCTGTGTCCCACAAACAGCCACCGCTATTCTGGAGCCTGGAAACGCGTCTAAAAATACGGCGGCCCTCCGATAGCCGAGGTGCAATGTGCAGTTTCGAATAGGGCTCTGTCTTGTTTCTTTTTTTTTTGTCCAGGATCTCGCCCTCTCGTCGAGCCAGCTGCAGTCCTGGGAAATGTGTAACTCTTCCTGGAGCATTAATAAGTCCCAGTTTTTGTCAGTTGCGTAGAAATAATGATGATAATTAATATCTCGGGACGGTCCATTTACTTGACGTTCTCCCCTTTTTTGGTATTGTGAGATATTCTTCTTCTTCTTCTTCGTCTTCCCATGTGTCCTGATACTTTGTTCCTCAGAGGTGGCGACCCTAGTTTGCGAGCACTGAATCGTGCAACCTTCGGCCTACTGGTTTTATTGACAGAAAGTTGAGTGTCTGTTTAGTTTCCGATTTAGAAGGAGTTTGGCAAGCGTGAGATGCTGGACTTTCCTTCAAAAAGCACATTCGTCAACTCAATATCGGTTCTTACGTTTGCGACGCATCTATCGAAGAGTGAGTTTAACAATCTTTGCCTTTTTTACATTCAGTATGTAATCGGTTCATGTAACCCCAAACTCATTTCAAATTGAAAATTCATTTCTTTAGAACTGCTGTCTTGTGTTTAGCTTGTTGTCCTTCCCCCGCACCTCTGATTAGCACGCTTGGCTACGTACAGTGCCAAAGAAGTTCTACGTACGTACATACAACCCCTCCAGCCACTAGAGGCCCCGCTATGTTTACAACAGTGTAACAACAACAAAAAATTTGTTATTTCTTCAACCGAAACCGAAAATCACCAGGCTTCATTGAAGCGGGCGAGTCCCCTACGCTTCCTGCAGTTTTATCTTGCAACGAGCTCAAAGCAAGCCGTGAGTATAGATAGCAACATGTGCTTTTGGTCAAACACTTATAACTTAAACTGGGTCACAAAAAATAAAACCACAGCCCGCAGGGGCGGGGGGGGAACGTTCCGTTTGTGGTTTTTTTGTTCTGATGTGGCCACTCCAGATGCCGTTTCCTCCAGGAGACTTTATTTTTCCCGACGGTTTGAAGAACGCTCTCGTCAAGTGATTCACAGGCCATGCCGACTCGTTGCCACGGAAACACGGGACCGGCTTTTGCCAAGATTATTCCGGCTCCCAGCGGGGGGGGGGGGGGGGAGCCGGGCGGCCCGCGATGCTAACCAGAAGTTAGGGATGCTAAGCCAGCAATGGTCCGAGGGACGTTTTGCGTTTCAGCAACCCGCTTGTCTTGCTCGTGTGCGATTGCTCACGCGCACCACCGCTAGCGGAAGGACCTCAACTAGAGGGAGCTCTAGAGGGCCCCTCTAGGGAAAGAGGGTGTTTGGTCTACTCTTCCACGCTAGACCACTCGTCTTGGAAGAAGAGGTGGAAGTAACCGCACTTTCCTCGACCGCATGCCGATCGACTTTAAATGCTGTTGTATCCGTTTGTAGCGTTGGGCGGATTAAGAAAGTTGTGCCATATTTTCAGCTGCCCATGGCCAGGTGGTCGAATCGAAGTGGGTTGCAAGTGCAGGGTGGCGCTACACAGCGGCAGCATGCTTGCTCACATGTATTTATCGGGTTGTGTGCACGTACGTTCGAACTTCTTTCGCGCCGTACGTAGCCAACCGTGCTAATCGGACGGGCGGGGGGAAGGACGACACCATTGTAGACATCTAAAAACGCTTGGCAGATTATTGTGAAATATATTTCTTGTTTCCCTGCAACCCACATTCCGGTATTGTTACTGTGGCAGTTACCGTTTTTTTTTATTAGACAAAACAAGCTTTGTTAAGTGCCGTTTTAGCGAGCCGTATATTTATTTTTTCAGGGCGTGCTGCCAAATAGGTTACATTAAGAGCCTGATTCACTTGTGAGAGCGTGTTTATTTCGGTTTAAATTTGGCAAAAACATGCAAATTGCTCCATAACGGAACAGTGTTCCATGGCCATAATTGATTGGCTTATTAAGCACAGTGCCGACACAAGCGTAAGTGCAAGTGAATTCTCGCTCAAAGGAGTACGGTATTGATGCGGTGGGTCTTCTCCAATTTATAGCCCTGAGCCAGCGGTGGAAATTGCACATTTCTATGGCAGGGGCGAGTCTCTCCGTTGGACAACCCTTGCCGTTGACTTCGCCAAAATTGTTACTCGTTGGAATACCGTTGAAGAAATAAGCAACAACAAAAAAAAAAATCACAATCCTTGGCATCAGGTTCAATCTGCCACGTGGCCTTGCGTGAGCCTCAATAGACCACATAAACGTGCAACCCCCGACAGAGCCGATCATCGTTATTCCCATACCGTTATTACCATATCGCTATTACCATATGGTAATTTGTGCCTGTGCTTAGGGGTAGTCACGGTAAAGGAGGGCCTGCTGGGGTCGTACGGTAATGCAATGTGTTAGCGGTTGTTGGCACGTCCTCGTGTGAGAGTGCCGCATTAGGACCTTTGGTGCGGCTGCGATTAAATGCGAACATCTCCAATTGGAGCAAAAAGCAATTCTCGGCCGTCTTTCTCGCGGTATCGGCGGCACGACACGGGGGCATCACAGTATTGCAGGTCCCGTTGTTTCGTTTTTTTTTCTGCTCCCAGCGCTTGGTCTGGAGCAAGACTCGTAAGCCAAGCGATGTGCCGTGATGGGGGCGGGGGTGTGGAGGTGTATTTTGGTATGTTTGCACAGACGGGGAGGGGGGGGGCTATCGGGCAGTGGGCTATCTTTGCTCTGTCGTAGAGGCCACGTCTGGTTAATTTCAAGGGCACGTGCCAAATGCTGGCTCGTGTCCCGTCATCTCGTCGGGCGGATGGTGCCATTGTTTGACTGAACGAGTCTCTTGGGGGGCTTTATAACAAAATTCTCAAAAGAACGTAAACAAATGGCACGGATGGCACGCAGACTCGGAGCCGGTTGAACGCTCCCTCGTTGAGGATGCTTCTTTGAACCTGAAACAATATCGTTTCTCCGTTGCTTGTAACCACTCCCCCCCCCCAATCCCCCAAATCGGCTTTCTGCAATTGACTGGATTCGCCGTCCGAACGTGAACGAGTTTGACCGCTGCGACGCGAATTTGGTGAATGCCGTCGTCTGAAATACGCGGCCTTGTCTCACGGCCACGTAACTACGGAGGGGGGGGGGGGGGGGGGGCGTGCTTCCTTTGGAGAGAGCGATGTTGTCGGTCATAGTCAGAGGAGAAGCGGATGGCTTCGAGTGTGGTGGGGTAAATTGTGGGTATTCCCACCTCTTCCAAACGCGTATGGTGAGTATGGAGGAGCTCCCTCGACTGGAGGTGCTTCCACCAGCAGTGGTGTGAGCAAGCAATTGCAGGGCTGTGCCTTTATAGTTTTTTTTTATTTTAACCTTACAGTTGCCTAAAACGTGTTGACTGCGGGCGGGTTCGCGGGGGGGCAGAGCGCTCTGCCGTGGTAGCTGCTAGGAAGTGGATGTCAGCCCTTGCCGAACGACGTCACGCCTCCGATTGGCGGATTACGGACACGCGCCCACCTAGCGAGGCAGCTGCACATGGCCGTTCAACAGAAAAGCGTCCTGCCCATCAAAACGCAACCCCCGGTCTGACGCGGAACCGGCCGGTGGAACTCCCCCACACAGGCATGGATCGATCGTCCGAAGTAAACGCGGCCGTAGGCCACGTTTATCCGCGCGCGACTACTCCGTCCTCCGGGAGATGGGGCGCGTTTGATGTAACGACTATTGATTGGATATTGTTTATTGGTCGTAACGTTGCGTCTGACCTCGGAGGCTAAGCAAGGTCGGGTCGCATGCACGGCCGCTGCCCGGGAGACGCGTCGCAGGCTGCTGCGTGGCTGCGTTGTGGGCAGCTCGGCGCAGTCTAAATGAGTTCACTGTACTTCTATGGCCCCGCTTGCCATTCCCCCACGTTTACGCTCCCTGCCTTCAAGCTGCACTGATTGGCGCAGCGAACTATGGTGAAATAACTCCCGTCAATCGGCGGATTAACAAAGAACTGCCCATTATCGCTACTGTTGTTGTTCATTTACAAACGCCCAGTGCTGTGACCGCTTTACGCAGTGATTTATCCAGCAGTGGTTTTACCAAGAGCTGTACACGTTCATGAATTACATAGGACATGAATTCACATTCACTCTCTCAAGTACTTTGTTCATCCTGCAGCTGATCCATCCTCTCTGGGGGGGGGGGGGGGGGGTCCATAAAATGAGCACCACTTTGTGGGAAAGTCAACGGCTGTTGTCCGGAAGGTAGAATCGCGCCCGCCGTGAGAACGTGGAATTGCCCGCCATTGCTTCGGGGGACTGTTATGAGATGAGCGATCATTTCAGCGGGGGGGGGGGGGGGGGGGGGGGCGAGGGACGAGGGACAATCGCTCCGTTCGTTTTGCTTTGTCATTGAAATTTCGACTTGCGAGGTTTTTTCGACCTCATTTCTGGAACTTTCCCGCTCGTTGACCGGCTTGAATATTCTACTTTTTTTTTTCCTCCTCCCCTCCCCAAACAGCCCAAGGCAGAGGGCATCGCCCTTCTCACCACCGTCTACAAGTACCTCAACCTCGTCGAGAGCGATTACTTCGGACTGGAGTTGGAGCCCTACCCCAAGTGCGGATTCACGGTTCGTACCGAGCCGGGACGTTTTCGCCTTTCGCGTATCGCGTTCATCAAGCAGGTCGAGGACTCGGTTGACACCCGAGGGTTGAGTCTCATTTGCAAGAGTGGCCACCCGGGGGGTGGCATCCGTGTGCCAGCAGTGGGCGACGACTCCGTCCTACTTCGTGTGTGTTTTTTATATTCCCAGGCGAGTGATTTTTCAGGTTAATTTTTCGAACGCGGCTAAATTTGCTCCCTCGGCACCACGTCTGGACCGTGCCAGAAAGAGGAGAACCGATCACGTCGGGGGATCTTTTAACGTCCACCGTGATGCAGAGGCTGCGTGTTTATTGTGGTTCTTACACACTGCAGTGTTCATCAGGGGGGTCGCAGGATTCGAACGGCGAACCCCCGCATCGCTCTCCTGTTCGGTCGCTGGGCCATGCCACTGATGATGATGACGACGACGAATACAGGAGGAGGAAGTTGCGATAGTTTGGCCGGGTCTCTTAAACACCAGAGGGATTTCCCAGCCCCATCCTGTGGCTGAACTTCTTTCGCACCGTACGTAGCCAACCGCGCGCCTATCGGAGGTGCAGTGTCGAGGGGATGAGCAAGAGAAGTCTGTCGGCCGAGGAGCAGCTGGGTGACGAATGAAGCGGCCGGGATGGGGAGATGAGCGGAATACGTTGTGCAGATGACTAAAGATGACCCAAAACCGTGAGGCATTGAGAGAGTTGATTGCCAAAGCATCGCTAAGTCTCTCACAACCCCCACGGTTAAGAAGCCCGATGGTGAGGTTGATCATCGTCGTCGTCATCATCAACATCAGCACTGTTTCATCCACCGCTTGATGGAGGCCTCCCCAAGTCGTTGCCACCTCGCAATCCTGCGATGTATCAAACCAACTGGCACCTGTGGAACCAGCTGATGTCATCATCGCCCTTTCTCCTCCGCGGAAGTCCTATCCACATGGGTTGCACTCCCGACGATGATGATGATGACGATGCTGCTGCTGCTTATTGTTACTTTTTTAAAGCTCCCTTTCAAGGAACGACAGTAGTTTCAGCTCCACAGGCTTTCATCCGTCGATTAAAAAAGTGCCATCTTGTCAAAGTCACCGTGCGGTCACCGTGAGCCTTGATGCACAGGTGGACATTCCACACGAGCGTGGTCGGCAAGAGCGGTGCCTGCAAGACGACCAATGTTGGCTCCCACAAAAGATGATTAACGTTATATTGCTCCATCCCCCCCCCCCCCCCCCCCCGAGGCTGAAGAAGGAATCGTAAAAGAAACAAAACAATTACGAAAACACTCTACGTCGAAATTCATTTAGCCGCAGCGGGATGCCCAATTTCAAATTGCCTGTTTATGCAGACCACCCTTTGGCAAACGGGTTTGGCGGTAGAAACCCACGAGCCTGATGGGATCGCCCTGAATGCACCCGACGATGTGTGACGTCGTGCTCGCTGCCCCCTGTTGTGCTCCCCCCCCTCCCTCTCCCTTGTCTCTCCAGGTTTGGCTCGATTCCCAGAAGCCCATCGCCAAGCAAGTAAAGAGTAAGTAGATGGCTACGGCATCACCGCCCACCCCCCCGCCCCGAGCACCGCAGTCGGGAAAACGCAACGCTCCGTGGGCGTAGAAATTGGCGGCGCATAGGGTTGCCACGCTGTCCAGGTTTTTGCCCCGGGGTTCAGGTGGGGGGCCCATGGACCAAGTGGGGGCCCACGGGTCAGAGGGGTCACGAGTCATCCAGATATGTCAAGAAGGGCCATTTGGCTAGAGGGGGGAGGGGGGCCCATTTTATTTCTTACGGCAGGGCCCACACCTACCGCATTAGGCCGCTGACATCCGCTCTGGGTGAGTGGGATCGAGCAGCCCTTGCGATGAAAGCGCTGCAACACGACACATTAGGTCACCCAAGGCTTATCGAGAATTATATTAATTTGACATGTAAACGATGCGTTGATCCGTTGATTCAAATTGTTTCTCCACGCTCGCGTAAAGAAACAATCTGTCGCCGTGTCGGTGTCGCCGTGTCGGTGAGAATCGTGGTGCATTTGATTGACGCACGACAGGTGGTGGATTTCACGTGTGCTTCGTTCACGATCGTGTGAAATACCTTGTTATAAAGGCCCTGTACTCGTTCTCGGCAATGTTATTGTTTTATATCTCTCGCTTTTGTTGCCGATGCTGTGCTCGCGCAGCCCCCCACGGATCTCCCGTGCCGTGTATAATATCCCCGGGCGAACGGTTAAACGGGACCAATCGTGTAACAATTTCAATCGACTCGCATTAATAATTTGAGCCAGAACAGTCCGGAATGCGGTTCCAGGAATTAGTTTTTGACGCGGCACATCCATCTCGCTCGATTTTTGCCCGCACAATACTGCACCCAATTGTTGTTTTTTCTTATAAACCCGCTTGCAAGATTTTCGGGAATGCAGGGTACACTATTATATAATTGTCATGGATAGGCGTTACCATGTGCTCAATTGGTAGTGCCTTTCGCCGGTAATCCCTGCTCCAAGGCAGCCTGGCAGCGTTTTCTGGAAACCATCGACAGAGAATCTTAGCCATAATAGAGTTTGTTTGGGTTAGATCGCGTTAGTATAAACGTGTCGTTAAACCCGCCACCACCCGACACAGCCAATTAGAACACATTTGTAAATGTTGTGGATTCACTCTCCAACACACAACCGGTGTGCTGTACTAGTAACGAATTGGCCACGTTCTGTTTACGTGACAACCCTTACTAGTTGGCTGTGTCGGGTCGTGGCGGGTGTAACAACCCAAAATCACCTCTATTGTGGATAATATTGGTCCCGAAAGCCAACGTGTTAAACAATCTTAGTCCATGAGTCTAATAATCATTTTGTCAGTGTATGATGCAATGGATGTGTTGAGCCAGAGATTCGATTTAAGTGGCGTGAAGTCAAATTATTATTTTTTTTAAACACGTGGAGCATTTCCGACACAAATCTGCCACCAGAGAGCACCACGATCGCATGAATACTCATCAACGTAAACATTCTATACAATGTCACGCTCATAGTACATTGCAATGCCATGTTAATTAGCGCCGTGCATGCTGACGTGCGTGTACGTATGTGCGTACGTACGTACGCGCGTGCGTCCGTGTATTCTCTTCCAGAGCCAAAAAACGTCGTTTTCAAACTCGGGGTGAAGTTCTTTCCTGAAGACTCGAGCCAGCTGCAAGAGGAAATCACAAGGCAAGGACCAGAACACTCAAAGACAAAGATCCCGTGTAGACTTGGGGGGGGGGGGGGAAGGACTGTCGGAGCGAGTAGCACCTAATATAGGCCGCCACTACACACGAGGGCTGTGAGTGCCCATCACCACACCCGGCTTGCATTTGTCTCCTTCAGTGGTGATGTTTTACGTCACCGGCGAAGTCACCCTCTGCCCTCTTTGCTACGAAGCCCCCTGTCCGACTCGTGACCACGAGCAGGCTTCATCTTGCCGTATTCTCCGGATAAATGAGACGAACTTTTGTTGTTGTTGTTGCAGTTTTGTAAAAAATGCGAACGTTGGGGATGGGGGGGGGGTATTACAATCAGTCCGGTGCGTGGCTTAAAACCTGGCACCTGGACACGCAAGTTGGGTTAATGCACACGACGTGCAGTCACTGCTGGGGCAGGCTGAGATCGATTAGCACGGTTGGCTACGTACGGCGCGAAAGAAGTTCAACGTATGTGCACACGTACAAGCTCGAGAAGCCGGGTTTAATCGTGGGCGGTCGAAACCCAAACTTTAAACCCAGCTGTGACCTCTGAGCCAACTGGTGGCCACCTAAGATTTAGTTTTTTTTTCGGTTTGCACCCCAACGTGCCTCTCGCCCCGCTGCTCAAATTCTCTTCCGTGTCCGTGCTACACGCCAATCGAGCATTATTCGTGTGATTTCTCACATCTCTTGTGCCAGCCTCCACCTCCCCCCCCCGCGGTCTTGTTCATTCATTCGTCCGTTGTCTGACTGGCGTGGGGGCCTGCCTGCTCTGTGTGTGCAGGTGCCGGCCTGTGGAGATCTTCACACAGAAACTGTTGCCTTGGTCCTCGGCTGTTTTTAATTTGCCGCCCGTTATCCACGTCGAGCGCAGCGTGACCTTTGAAACTCCTCTTTTTGCAGTTTATTGACTGAGCTAATGCATTCTCCTGCAGATGAACCAAAGGGCATTTATGTTCCTGTGTGTGTGTACTGGGTACGTGCGAGTCTGTGTGTGTGTATGTGGAGTTCGATTCCCACTCACAGCCAACACCAGTGACGATAATCTGAATCGGTCCTGGACCTCCCCCAGGTCGGCTCAGCCTTAAATTAGTACCTGATGCGGTGTGTAAAAAACATCACCACTGGGGAGACAAAGGCGGCCGGGCGTGGTGCTGGCCACCCATCCCTCTGTGTGCTGTGGCGGCCTTCATAGGTGCTCGCTAACAGAACTTGCCCCAACAGTCTATTAAGGGCTATACGGGGATCTTTGTCTTTGCATGTACTGTGTGTGTGCGTGTAGGTATACAGAACACGTGCATGTATGTATATGCCTATGCATATCCCAGTGTCTGTATGTAGGTTGCACGCATGTATGTCTGTGCTTCGACACTCCTCGTGGCCTCGAGGCGCACCTAGCCTGGTACGAGCACCAGTATACCGTTAATCGGGGGGGGATGTTGTTACCGTACGGCGCGACTACATTTGAAGTACTTTCATCGTCGGTCGGTCGCTTGCCCCCTGGCCGGAGCGTCGCGTTCCCCGACGAGAACGATGCGGGGCGATCCAGCCGTCACCGAAGCGTCACGCCGAGCCGAGCCCGGTGCACGACCGCGAGTTGTTTGACATCGGCCTCGACAGCGCCCCATAAACCGCGGTGTTCTCCGTCGCGGCAGAAGTGTAAAAAAAAATATATATATAACGATAAAAAAATAATAAAAATGCCACGGGAGCTGACGGCACAAATCTGCTCACGCTGGGAGAAATGAATTAAATCCTGCCAGGCACAGACTTAATGCAGCGGGGGCAGTAGGGGGCCTAATTTGTTGAGTTGCTGAGCGACTGGCAAAGGATAAATTTTGCCACCGTGGCCTTTGCGAAACTCAGAGGAGAGGACCCCGGGGTAAGGTCGCGCATTTCCGAAGCAGAAATTGAACCGATGCAATTTTCACAAACGGGGTCCCGAGTGGAAGTGCACACCCTTCTTCTACGCAAGCAATCGGGATCCGCTGGAGCTTTTCGCCTCTCGGGTTTTTATCGCGAGACGTCGCGCCGCCAGCGCCGCCGAGGATTTATTTTGGCCCAAGTTTACCGCCGCGACGTTGCGGCCTTAAGCTTCCAAAATTGGATTCCGATGCCTCTCCCGGCCTCGCCTCGCCCCACCCCCCCCCTCCCCTCTTTTAATTTCACTGCAAAACGCAATGTCTCAATGAAGAATCGCCACGCTTGCGTTCTGATGGAATCCGGCGCTGACAAATCCACTCGCTTCCGCCGAGTGGTAATCTGCGGAAACACCCCGGGGGGAGGGGGGGTTGGGGGATGTGAACGCTCGGCAGCGGAGCTGTCTGAGCGATGATAATTCACCCAGGACGATGTTTATCGGGAACGCGTGCGTCAGGCCAAGAGAAACGCGCCGCTCCACATAAAAGGGCTGTCGCCCGAAACGTTAATCCCCGCGGCGCTCTTAGACGTTCGTTACGCTAATTTGTGCATCGCAAACGTTTGCCGTCGTAGTTTTGTTCCCATTTTTGTTGAGCGTTCGGCCTGCTTTTTTGTTGTTGTTCATGACGATGGCGGTTTTCATTTGAGCACGGCGCAGCAGCAACGTTTTTTCTTTTTCTCTTTCGAAACGGGACGTTCAGCCGCGGGTGACGTCTCCACGCGGTCAGGGGCCGTACGATTTCTATTATCCTACGAGCTCCAAAGCATGAGCACATTTCCTTTGCAGCAGCGGTTCTCAGAGCGCGGTTCGCCCGGACCACCGGCGGTCTGCGTCGCTCCGCCACGTGGTCCGCGGGGCTGTGATGCAAACGCAGCTTGCACCGGAAATAATGACAATATTTAACTCATGATATTCAATTTAAAAATGGAGTTAGGTAATCTGCCCTGATGTAACTACCCTAGCCCCAAGATCTAAATGCTGCTCCCTCCCCCCTTGCCTTAAAAACAAACCTTACAGCTGCGTTTATATATATATTTTTAAAATTACGCTTTGGTAATACGAATATTCAGTTTATATTCGTGGTATTTTGAGAGAGGTGAATGCGTTTTGTCAGCAACGGTGGAGGTCTGGGCGGTCTGTGGAAATGTTTGAGTTGGCCGCGTGATCCACGGGCCCAAACAGAGTTTGAGAAGCACCGCTCTGCAGCATCTTAATATGCGTACACGTTTTGATGCTTGCGTATAAACAAGCACCTCGGTGAGAGAGCCCTTGCGGTTGAGGCTAACACGGCGGTCTGTGCGGTGCGTCCCCCCACCTCCACCGCGTGTGCGTGCGTGTGTGTGTGTCTGTGTGTGTGTGTGCATGCGTGTGTGTGTGTGCGTGTGTGCGTGCGTGCGTGCGCGTGCGTGCGTGCGCGTATTGCGCAGGTACCAGTTCGCGCTGCAGGTCAGACAGGACCTGCTCGCGGGTCGCCTGGTGGCCAGCGAGATGTCCTCCTCACTCATGGCCGCGTGTCTCCTCCAGGGTGAGTGGAGTGGAGTCGCTCAGGGTCGGTCGGTGAGTGTGTGAGCGATTCAGGGCGAGTGAGCGATTCGGAGCGGGTGAGCGACGAGTGATTCGGAGCGAGTGAGTTATTCGTGACCTTAAAGTCATCCGCATTTGACAGAAACACCGTACCCACTCTCGGGTTCACACTCAAACGCAGGCTCCCGATCGTTTTCGTCCACCAGGCCGCCTGAAGCTCGCACGTAAACAAAAGTCACTCTCGCGCTCCCCGCATCGCTCGCACACAAACACGCGAGGTCTGCGTGCAGTCCCGTTGGAGGGAAACGCCTTTTTGCCTTTTGTCCGTGCTGCTGCGGGGGAAGCAGTCGACAGATCCTATTATTCGCGACTGTTTGTGGAATCACTGCTGTTAACCTCAAAACATCGGAGAGGTCAGCAACGAGAGAAAGGGGGGGGGGGGGGGCCTTCCGTCCATCAAGCTCCTTGTGTCAGGAAACCACAGACAAGCTGTGAGGCAGCCACCCACAGTACCAAACGCCAACAATTGCCCAAGCTCTGCGATCCGCCAGTAGTGGGGCGATGGTTGGGCAGACGTAGTGGCGCAGTGGCTAACTCGGTGACCCAGTCACGGCGAACATTAGTGGCGAGTGATATCTGAACGGTTCCAGTGCAACCCCAACCTTCACCAAGCCGGAAACGGTGTGGTGGCGGGGGGGGGGGGAAGCCCTCATCCTGCAGTGGGTTAGGAAACGGAGCAATCATCACCCCCTGCTGCAAAAAAACCCCTAACAGGACCCTCCTGACAAAAGGGGGGGGGGGTGGTGGGGGCGGCTTGACACTCGGCGAGGCGTTGCCGGGCAAACAGGCGGAAGAGTTACAATAGCTCACGGTGGCTCGAGAAACTTTATTGGGGGTTGACGATGTGCTCCGTGGCTCCCGAAAAAGTGGGGACCAATGAGCTTGAAGGAAGGGATGCGGTAGGGAGGGGGGCAAAGGGAGTTCAGTCGTTTTCTTGTTACGTGGGTGGAGGGAGGAGCGGTAGCGCGATCCTGCTTCGATTCCCGCTCACGGCCGACACCAGTGACGATTATTTGAAGCAGTACTGGGCTCTCCCCTAGGTCGACTCGGCCTCAAATGTGTACCTGGTGCGTGCGGTGTGTAAACTTCGCTACTGGGGAGACGAAGGCGGCCGGGCTTGGTAAGAGCCACCCACCCCCTTGTGTGTCGTGCCGGCCTTCATAGGTGCTCGCTGACAGCACTTGCCCCAACAGCGTGTTAAAGGCTATGCGGGGGGAATCTTTGGAGGGAGAAAGTCACCTCGGTCTATTCTTTGGGTCTTTCGGTAAAGTCACATAGGTAGGTTCAAGAAAAAAATAACAAAAAACTATGACGTTTCGATCGCAACACAAGCGGCTATTTTGTTCTTTTCTTTGAACCTATCTGCGTGCCTTTACCGAAAGGCCCAAAGAACATGAATTCCTGCAGTCACGAAAGCTTCAAGTCAGCATTTCACCTCTTGTCTATTTAATAATTTTTGTCGTGTGCCCCCCGCTCCGACCCCGCTGCCCGTCACAGCCGACGTGAGCGACTACGAGGAGCAGCGGTCGAGTCAGCAGCTGCGGGAGGTGCAGTACCTGCCCAACCAGGAAGTCCTCGCCAACCGCATCCTGGACTACCACCGGCAGTTCGCGTGCGTTACGCGGTTCCCCTTTCGCTCCTCGCGCAGCGCCGCATTACTACGCGCTCGCGATCGCAGCTGCGTCACACACCTTGGTCGCCACTTGCCCAAGCACAACGTTCGCTTTTTGTTAATTATTTTTTATTGATCCAACCACGGGGGGCGGGGCGGGGGGGGTGGTGGGTGTTCAACTTCTGCGATAGCGGGATAGGCAGGCTCGGACAGACAGCCAACGCAGACGTAGCATTATGTGTTACGTGCATCAGATCCCTTTTCTTCGGGGAAGGAAGGGGGGTGGAAGGGGGGCAGTCAGTCACATTTCAAGTTCAGTCAAGTAAACTCACGGTCTCTGGAGTGGCATTCACGAGGGGGCCCCAGATCTGGGTGAACTCCCCTTCCCTATTCCTCAGTTTCAGGCTCAGGTGTTCTAAAGCTGCTCGGCCGAATAGGGAGTTATGCCTGAGGATGAATGGGGGGGGGGGGCATGATTCTTCCAGGAGCTTAGGATGGTCTTTATAACCGAAATGTGTGGAGAAGGGCGTGTTGGTGCCTGGTGACACCTTGGGGTTTAAGGCCCAGGAGAGATAATTCAATGCTTGGTAGTAACTTGGTGCCAGACATCGCGTTGTACAGATCAGTTATTTTGTCAGAGATTGTCCTGATGGTGGGACAGTCCCAGAAGGCGTGAAATGGGACGTGTATGTAATTGAATCTTGACTCATGTTCCAGAGGTTTGAGATTTACTCAGTTTAGATTTCTCTTTGCTCTTGTTTCGGGGTTATGTTTGTTAGTCCTACATATTTGGTGAATCGGGTCGCCCCGATAGTGCTACTGGTGTCATGCCGCAAAATGGCTTGTCCATTCGGATCTCTTGCAGAGAAGTGCAACCCCTCCGGAAGTGGATAGCGCACGGTGATACATCTGAGATCCTTTCCAGTGGCCTCCGGTCCCGCGCAAGCGTAGGGAGTCGATGGTCTCAGCTCGCTTCCCGGCGTCTGTGCAAGCGAAAATAAAAGCCAAGACCCCATCGCAGAAAAAAATTTGGTTGTGCTTGATTTGGCCAAATCCCACCTTCGTGAGTTAACTTTACTCTCAGAGGCAGAGAGGGTTGGAAAATTCCGCCCCTTACTTGTGTGGACCAGAGGTCACATGAAGAAGGACACTCAGAGGTAACTCCTTGGTGTCCACTTCTGCGAGCCGTTCTCGAACAGGAGAAGGGCTCGCGCCGCTCAGTGAGATTTCATAATCGATGCCTCGCCTCCGTGAGGAAATGGCACAACGTTGAGATATCACTGGGAAGACACCACCCTCCCCCCCCCTCCCCCCCCCACGAGCTGTTAGTTACCTCTCGTGACGTCTCCTCAACCGTCTCTGCTTGCCGGGCTCGCGCAGCGGCCTCTCTCCGGCCGAGGCGGATGTGCAGCTGCTGGAGATCGCGCGCCGGCAGGACACGTACGGCCTGCGCCTGCACCAAGCCTACGACAAGGAGGGCGCGAGCATCAACCTGGCGGTCGGCTACTCCGGCGTCTCCGTCTTCCAGGTGCCGCCGCTCCTTCCCCCCTCCGTGTGGCTCGAGCGACCGGACACCGCCGCCGGACGTCGAGGCTGCCGTGCAACTTTTTTTCGTTTTCGTTAATTTTCCTAAAACGTTTTGAAGGGTTTTGGCTCCCGCCTCGAGTGCGGTCCTGCAACTTTGTGTCGCCGCGGCGGCGCCGTTGATTGGGTGGGTTGCCTGCGAGCGAGCCGCCTAAGTGGGACGGTGAATGTTCACGATTGTTCCTCAAAAGGCCGCACAGCTCGGCTATGTCCATCCATCACCTCCGCCTCGATGATACGTGAACAGCGAATCGCCGCGGTGGCGAGATGTTATCTCCCTCGCCTGGTATGCAGGTTGTCGTGGGTTCGATCCCGACACCCTTTGACGCCTGCTGTATATTTGGAGTTTGCGTGTCTCTCTCCCCGTGGTCGCGTGGATTTTTCTCCGGGTCCTCCGGTTTTTCCGTCCACATTTAGATTGAACACGCGTTTAGAGAATTTGGCTGCTATACATTTCCACGCAATAAGCCACTACATTGAGCTCTTGTTTGTGGCCAGGTTGCTTCTGAAAGAGAGCTATACAGCTCAGTGGGCCTTACCTGGTAAAATTAAATTTGTTAGTTTAGTGAGTTAATTTGACAGCGATGAGGCTGTGAAGGCAGTACTGTAGTTTTGTATGTGTGCTTAACTACAGTATGTGTGCTAAACTACAATTTCCATTTAATTTCTATGCTTTACTGTGATACGTGCTCGGTTGCTGGGACAAGTTTTTTTATGTTCATTGTTTCCTCGGCATTATTCTTACAGTGCCTATAGATGCTTGTAGCGTTAACACGCTATATAAATCTCATTTCTTGATATAATACCGTTGTAATTGTCATTGCTATAACCGACAGGCGTCTTTGCCGCCGACATTAGGAGTCTTGTGGAGCACCCGGGCTGAATGTCAATGACGTAGATCGATGTCCTTTACTTGGCCTGGCCTAGTATCCTCGATTTTATGTCCATGTCTTTTTCTTCCACGTGAATGACTGCACGTATTTTATATATATATATTTAAAAATAATATTAACGAATATTCAGTTTTCAAATATTTGTCTGGATACTTTGCGTTGTATAACTGGTGCATTTTTTGTAATGTTAAATCTCCCCTCAATTTTATGACGATTGTGCTATCGGTGTCACAGAGCGGTGCGTCACCCTGTGTGGTAGAGAGCGCACCACATAAGCGGATATCGCAGCTGTCTCTGGGATTCCTTCTTATTCAAGTGACACTGATCCACACAGAATGGCCCAACAAGTTGATATCACAGAGCTACTTCTGAGAGATTCTGTCTTCTTCTTCAAGTGGTGCTCGCAGAATGGCCCACGGAAGTGGATATCACTTTCTACCTCTGCGATCCCGTAGAGGCTTAACACCTCTTTTAACGTCTGCTGTTGTTTTTCTCTTTATCGTTTTTTTTTTTAGAACACGACCAAAATTAACACCTTCAACTGGGCGAAGATACGGAAGCTCAGCTTCAAACGGAAATACTTCCTCGTCAAATTTCACCCGGACATTGAGGTGAGTGCTGATTCAACAAAGATCAAAGGGTTTAATTAGTTTTGTTGGTGGCACCTATTTTTTTTTCTTGTTGTTCGTGCAGTGCTTTCGTGCTGCTGCAAACTCCTCTTAACTCGCTGGGCTAATGAGACCTTGTGGACTCACGCACTTCGCTGTTGTCCTTCATCAACCCATCATCATCATTACCAACCATCACTCCCCCTCTGCTGAAAGCCTCCCCGTGCCACTGCCACCTCTCGCGATCTGGCGATGCGATGGCGACGCAGTGGCGAGATGTTAACTACGTCGCCTGGCATACAGGAGGTTGAGGGTTTGATCCCAAACCCAACGATGCCTGTTGTATGTTTGGAGTTTTCATTTTTTCCCCGTGGTCACGTGGCTACTTCTCCAGGCCCTCGGCGTTTTCGCTCCACGTAAAAAAAGGATGCGTTCGGAGTATTTGGCTGCTGCCCTGAATTTCCACGCGACGAGCCACTTCGTCGCGGCTATCATTTGTGGCCATGTCACTTGTGAAAAAGAGCTACATAGCTCAGTGGGCCTTACTTGGTAAAATGAAAAACATTGGTATGTATGTATGTATACTATGTATAGTGTAGATGCAAAAATCCAGTATAGATGCAAAAATTTATAGTTGCATCAATACTATGCTATACATCAGGGGTGGGGAACGTCCGGCCCGCGGGCCGTACAAGGCAAAATCATTTGGTGTGGCCCTGCCAAGGCAACCGCAGGCGGGACTCGAAATTCAATAAATCTAGGTAGGGCAAACCTGGAAAAGCAGTTGCGAGTAGCAACAACATCATCAATACCGGCTAACATCATCACACGCCTCACCAAAGAGAGGCAGTTCCAGCCATCACATTAGGGGCGAGTTAATTAAATGTTTGACCAAATATAACAGGTTAATTTTTAAGTTGATAATTTTGTATGGCCCGCAAATGATGTTATAAATTTCCAAATGGCCCTTGGCAGAAAAAAGGTTCCCCACCCCTGCTATACATGTATAGTATACTGCACATGTGTAACATACATGTATATTACATTCTAGATGCAACAATGTATATAACATAGAATAGATGCAACAATCCATCCCAGGGCGATTTACATCTAACGTGCGTGCTGTGTGTGTGTGTGTGCGCGTGCGTGCAGGGTAACTACCAGGACACCCTGGAGTTCAGCATGAAGGGACGAGACGCTTGCAAGGCCTTCTGGAAGGGCTGCGTAGAGAGCCACGCTTTCTTCCGCCTGCAGGACCCGCCGCGGCCCAAACCCAAGTCGGTCCTTTTCAGCCGCGGATCGTCCTTCCGCTACAGGCAAGGGCTGGCCCACGCATTTCACTTCCCGTTTGTACGTTGAGCTTCTTTCGCGCACCGTACGTCGCCATCCGTGCTAATCGGAGGTGCGGGGGGGGGGGGGGTGGACAACAACAACAAAAGTAAAAAAAACATTTATTCTAAAGAAATTAGTTTTCAATCTAAATTATTTAAAAGTGCGTGGTTCCCAGTGGCTTCCTGTGTGACGGCCACATGGGTCAGAGGTCACGAGCGCCACCGACTCGGCAGCGAATGACGCCTTACAGTTGAGCTTCTGTAAAATTGGAAACATTTTTTTTTTCTTGGCATTGTTATTCAACTTACATTTCGATTGCGCTATCGGTATCTGGCCGTGCAATGGAACAAAAATCAGATGTGCTTCTGTGGCCGTCTGGAACGCTCTTCCTTCTGATATTTGGAAACCACCGGAGGTCTACACTTTTAAATCCAGATTGAAAACTCATTCATCTAGGACTGATTTTTGTGTTTAGTTTGTTGTCCTTGCCCCGCACCTGCAATTAGCACGGTTGGCCATGTATGGTGCGAAATAGGTTCTCCGTACATACATTGGGGATTTCTCGTAGTGGGCAGTGCACCACTCGGAGACTTCCCCCACAAGTTAACGTCACAGAACTACTTTCTGCAGTGACTTCAATAAGACCCTTGACCCAGATATAATGGCGCACGTTTTTTGGCGTGCACGTAATATGCATGCGTGTATTTTAACACACGTCGCTCAGCGCAGGCCCAATGGTTAAAAACATCAATCAAACAATGCTTTTTAAGTATGAATTGACAAGACTCGAGACGTTTCTTGCGTTGAGCCAGGTTTTTTAGAACGCGAAAAAAATAGTCGCCCAAGAACGCAGAGAAAGCCTGGCCAACTACCCGAACGAGAAAAAAATATCGCGCAAGAGTGAGCACATCGTGTTAATGACTTTTTAACATGTGGGATTATTTTCTATCCAAGATGATCCCAAGTTTGTTTGTGTAATTAATTGACTCGTAATTATCTGCGAAAGGGGGGGAGGGGGGATGCCTTTGGGGCATTGAGCTCTGCCTCAGCCAATTATCCGGGTTCTCACTTGTTCTATTCTCGTCATGTAATCACTGACTTCAAGCAGAGCGGTGCTGTGAAGGTCCTGCAAGGGCAAAGGTAGATTTAATTTTAAATTAGCATTGGTCTATTTACTTTATTCGTGAACATTTTGCACATGTTCTCGGTTCTTTCAGTAAAGTCACGTAGAAGGGAAATAATAAAAATAAAACAATCAAATTCTCACGACGTTTCGATTGCAACACAGGCAATCGTCATCAGGTGTGAAAACCACAGCAAGAAAATTTGAAAAAGTGGCGGTTTTTTAATTTTCTATTTAATTTTACCAGGTAAGGCCCACTGAGCTATATAGCTCTTTTTCAGAAGCGTCCTGGCCACAAATGGATAGCTTAACAAAGTGGCTTATCATCATGTGGAAATTTATAGCAGCCAAATACACGAAATGCATGTTGATTCTAAATGTGGAGGGAAAATCCGGAGTACCCGGAGAAAAATTCCACGATACCATGGGGAGAACACGCAAACTCAAAATAAACACCAGGCGTCCGGGTCGGGATCGAACCCACGACCTCCTGTATACCAGGCGAGGCAGTTAACATCTCCTAGCCACGATGCCGGCTTGGACTTGCTAAACAGAGCCCCCGTCGCGTTCTCTCAGCTTAAACCAAATGTCGACGTTGTGGAGCTCTTCACTCTTGGCCTGTGCGTGACTTTCGTCCGGCTCAGCGGGAGGACGCAGAAGCAAGTGTCGATGTACGTGCGCGACCACGGCAGCAGGAGGGTGCAGTTCGAAAGGTACGCTGGCGCAAGCCTCCATCGCGGTGTGCACTTAGCCTGGCACAACGCGCCGTTGTGACGTCAGCGCCACCTAGTGGCGAATGGCCGCTGTTGTTGTTTCAAGTTCACCTTGTTTAACCAGGTTCGAACTCTTAAGAGACCAGCATCGAGTCTCATTTGGCAAGAGTCACCTTCTAGGGCATTACCGGTAGTCTGCCGGTGAGTGAACGATGACTGCTATTTAAAATCCAAATTGAGCAATTTGCGCCGTAACTTTTTTGGATTTCCGTATGTACGTGCGTGTGTATGTACCGTGCGTGTGTATGCACATGCGAGTGTGTATGCGGTGGGGAGCGGTGGTGTAGTGGTTAGCGAGCTGCACTACAAACCCGGCGATCCGAGTTCGATTCCCGCTCACGACCAGCACCAGGTGACAATTATTTAAATGGGTCCAGGGCCTCCCCTCGGTCGACTCAAATGAGTACCTGGTACGCTGTGTAAACATCACCACTGGAGAGACAAAGGCGGTCGGGCGTGGTGCTGGCCACCCACCCCCTCGCGTGCCGTGCCGACCTTCATAGGTGCTCACTGACGGCACTTGCCCCAACAGTTTGTCAAGTCCATTCGGTAGATCTTTTTCTTTGTATGAACATGCGTGTGTGTCTGTGTATACGTGTCCGTGTGAATATGTGCGTGCATGTTTATTTGCGTGTGTTCATAAGCGTGCATATACATTTTCGTGTGTGTGCATAAGCGTGCATATACATTTGCGTGTGTGTGCGTGCATGAGCGTGCGCGTACATTTGCGTGTGTGTGTACGTTTGCGTGTACGTTTGCGTGTACGTTTGCGTGTACATTTGCGTGCGTGTGCGCGTGTGCCTGTTCGCGCATGCGCGTACGTTTGCATGCGTGTATGTTTGCATGCGTATACGCGCGTGTGCGTGATGCTCACACGACTCCGCCTTGTGTTTTTTTGCGTTTCAGGAGGAGCACGAAGATGAGGTCATCTCAGAGCCATCGAGCCATCCCTGCGCACCCCCCGCAGCTCACGGCAGAGCCCCCTAAACAGGTACGGCTGGCCCAGCTCGCAACCGTGGCTTGTGCTGGAGGAGTTCATTGCTCGCGTACGCAGGGCACAAGGGGGAGCCTGGGCAGAGCTCCAGCAGTTGCGCGTCTCCACTGCTGGGCGGCGACGCGGCCGAGCGGTAGTGCAGAGGTTGACGGTCTGAACCGCGTGGCCGCCCTGGTTAGTACTGCGCTTGAAGTAACCGTGGCGATGGCTACGCGCAGTCTGCTTCGCGGTGGACATTGAAGATCCCCGTGCCAGGCCGTGTGGGCCGGCAGCAAGGTCAAACTTCTTTTTGTAGTATGTGCAAAGTTAATTAAAAAAAAAATTCTTATTTTTTATTTTACCAGGTTAAGGCCCACTGAGCTGCGTAGCTCTTTTTCAGAAGGGGCCTGGCCACGGAATGATGGCTTATCAAAGTGGCTTATTATCATGTGGAAATGTACAGCAGCCAAATACTCTAAACGCATGTTGATTCTAAATGTGGAAGGAAAAATCCGAAGGACCAGGAGAAAAATCCACGCGACCACGGGGAAAACATGCAAACTACAAATATACAGCAGGTGTCAGGGTTGAACCCATGACCTCCTGTATCCGAGGCGAGCGAGCTAACATCTCGCTCCCCGGGCACCCCTTAACACAACATCGCCCCCGACTGTGACACTACTGTGATCTATGTGATACGTAGCACCTTCCTTTGTGATAGCCTCTTTGAAAATGGGATAATTACCAAATGTACCAATGACTTGATTTGAACGGGCAGCGGGTGACAGGTGTGGCTGTAAGAAATCCTGCTATTATCATCACTGACATCAAACACGATAAAGACACCCGCAATTCCCTCAATCCACTGCTAGCCGACAATTCATCGAGCTGCAATCATTGATGATCGCCGAGGACAGTGGTTCTTAACCTTTCCTGCAGCCTTGCACCCCTTTGATTCTCATTCGTTAACATTTTTTTAGAATGTTAATAAATACCGGTACGTAGCGTTTGATGAAACAAAATGGTTGTACTCACGTGCCCGTGCTTTTAATTTGATGTTTTCGGTGATTTACCTTCTAAAAAAGATCTGGCCATGTCCTCGCACGACCCCAGAAAGGGCATCTCGCACCCTCCGAGGGTTTGTGCACCCCCGGTTAAGAACCACTGGCCTGGGAGAAGGCGACATTTAGATAATTAATGCCGTTATGGCGGTGATCCTCGTGTTGCAACACACGAACCGCCATTGAAGCGAATTACCGACGCAACTATTAAAATTTAAATCTAAACTATTTTTTTACTTTAGCAGCTAAGACCCACTGAGCTGCATAGCTCTTTGTCAGAAGCGACCTGGCCACAAATGATTGTTCACTAATGTGGCTTAGCGTGTAGAAATCTACAGCAGCCAAATACTCTAAATGCTCGTTTATAAATGTGGAGGAAAAACCGGAGGACCCCGGAGCAAAATCCATGCGACCACGGGGAGAATATGCAAACTCCAAATATGCAAACATCATCAGGATCGGGATAGAATTTAAGACCCCCTATATTTCAGGCGAGGTAGTGAACATCTCGCCACCGTGTGCCGGTGGTGAATGTGTTTATAAGATTTTTTAAAATTATTATTCAAACTAGTAAAAATGATTTCCTGCTCCAGTAAGCATTGAGGCGAAGTGAAGTCGTGGGGGTCGCCCATACGTTCCCCACCCCCCCCCCCCCGCTTCACACGCACCGCTTCTGTGTCCGTCTCTCAGAGCGCGAGCTTCTCCGAGGGGGAGAGCGGCGGACACGTGTGGGACCCGGTGTCTCTCATCCTCGCCAAGGAAGGTTCCCTTCCGCCCAAGCAGCTGGAAACAACCAGCGACCAGCTCCCCTCCCCTACCGGCCGAGTTGGTACGGCCCAAGATGGAGGCGTGGCAGCGCAGGGCTTGGCGGACGCGGTGCACGGCGGTTTGCCGCCCGCCGTTGTCGGCAACGGGCGCGGCGGCGGTGGCGGCGGCGGCGGCGGCGCGTCGAGCAACGCGGAGGGCAGCGATGTCGAGAACGAGTATGACCTCGCGACGGGCAGGGTAGCCGCACCGCTGACCCCCGAGCAGCGTGTTGGCGGGGAGAAGGCGACCTCGGACGAGCTCTCTCCTCTCAGGTTCATTAACGGCGGCGGTCGGGCGGCGGAGCGGTTGGACAGCGACGGCAACAGCGTAAACTTAGGCAACAGCAACTCCAATTTGGTGGAAGAATTTTTTGATGACGATCCCGCAGATATTTTGTTTCACGGCGGACAGACCCCTAGCGAGCCGGTCGGCTCGGCAGAAGGTGACGCCTTCCATCTCTGTGGCCGCCAGGCGGCCCTTACGGCCCTCGCGATGGACGACGGCGGAGAAGGTTTAGATCCAGAGAGAAACGTCGGTAATGGGGAGCGTCTAAATTTGGACGTGCACGCCACGCCCGGCGAATACTTCCTAAAAGATAAGATGGTCGCGTCTGGCTTTGCTGTGGGTACCGATAGCGGAGCGATGTTGAGGCACGCTTTCAGGCATTTGGACGACACGGATCCAAGAATTTTATCCCTTGATGGCACCTACAACAGCGGCAGAGTTCCAGAGAGCGACTTGTTCCTCGACTTAAACGCCGTCGAGTGCGACCGCGCGCACAACCTGGGCGCCGTCCCCAATGAGTTCTATAGCGTCGCCGACCACACCATCGACTCGGCAGCCTCCGACAGCCTGCCTGGCGAGCCGGTGAGCCCGGGCGTCGAGCAACTCGTTTGCTCGACGCCCGTGAAGCCGCGCAACCCTCCGGCGCTCCCGGCATCCGCCTACGAAAACGCGGACCGCCAACTCGGCCGCCTCGCAGAAAACAGCAGCAGTAGTAGCGGTGGCAGCAGCAGCAGCAGTAGCGAATCGGAGTCGAGCAACTCCGACTCCGAGTTGGTCGTCGACGAGCCGGCGGACGCGTCGTCCAGCGGCCTGGTTATTGGAAACCCGCTGACGCTGCCGCCGATATCGTGCCCCGTTCTGCGGAACAGGATAGCGTACCTGGACGTTCCGTGCAATTACGACAGCGACGAGTGCGATGGCGGGTCGATTAACCTGAGCGACGAGGAGTCGGGGGGGGGTCCCGTCGGCAAACGGCACGGCTTTAAGTGAGCCGTCGTTTAGGCACGTCCGTGCAGGTTTCCTCCTCTTCAAGCAGCTTTTATCATCAACTCTTTCATTATGAATGCAAAATGTTTGATTTTTTTTATAACATGCCAGGTGGAGGTGGGGGGGGGCGAAAGCTGGTAGAATGGGTCAACGCAGAGTTGTACTCATTTAAAAGGCACAAAACGAATCATAACCACTAAGACACAACCACTGGGCTGCGCAGTTAATGTCAGATGACAAATTACGTTTTCGTACCCCCCGGCTGAGATATCGCACAGATGACCTGTTGGGCTACGGACATGTGTGGAAGTCACTTGACTATGGCCACTGCCTTAAGTGCGACTACAAATTAACCATCGTTGGTTTTGAATAATTGCTATTTAATTTATATTTGTGAACCGCCAGCAGAAGCAAGTGATTGCGGTTAACCGCAGCAAAACTTCAGATTGGGACGCGGTTGTCATGGATGGGAGAGTGGGGTAGGAACTGGCAGATGACCTCTCATATTGAGCCGTGTAAACTCTCATTCGTTCTCCTTGGTCGGGTTTGGTGACTTTATCATCACGGACACAGAATGTGACGCGGTCCTCTCGCGGGCCTTCATCCGACTCGTTGGCAACGTTTGAACGTGGATTCCTGGCGGAGGGTTTGTTTGTCAAACGTTTCAGTATCCGCCACTGGCTTTGCTGAAAATTTCTGCACGTTTTTAGGCCAACACGTTTGTAAAGAGATTCTAAATGTGTAGTTGTTGTTTAATGGGGGTTATAATTCGAAGAAAACAAATCCACCAATTCCCCAGCAATGGCACCACTTGCTTTGGCAGTTTTCACATGCTGACGAATTAATGTGCCCATTTGAAGTTGGTGCTAACCCACTGGTGCAAGACGGTGTACTCTGTAATAGGTAAAACCTTGTCGTTTCAGGTGTAATAATTGCGATATATCTTTACGAAATAATTTTCCTCATGAATCCACGAGTGTAAATGTGCTTTCAATCAGTGCAGCTAAAATCTATTTAATCTTTATTTTATTATAAAACAGCTCTTGTTGCAAAAAAAAAATACTTTCAGGCCTGTGGCCTACATGGTGACTGTGTTAACAAAAAACTGAAATAAGCATTTTTTAAAATTGTAAACGAACCTGTAATTCTGTTATCTTGCATGTTTAAACATCTTTGGTCGTCCCCCCCCCTGCACACCTTGGTTAAACTAACTTAATTTGCATGTACAGTATAGAGTTTGGTAAAAGGGCCTACTTGGGGTATAAGGCCTGTTTTGTCCTGGTGTTGACAGAACTGGCGTCATCAGCCATGATCAGTTTAAGGTCCGCAGATCGGTGTCCCCTAGAGGCCCCCCTGCTTGTAGTTGTTGCAGCCAAACAGACAGGTGAACACCAGGATATATAAATGCTTTTTACCCCACGTAGGCCTCTTACCTCCCACCCTACTATACATCTATACTTTTTTTTCGCATTGCCTGTGTTGCTAAACACATTTTTTTCCACGTCAACACATGCTGTCATGGGTTAAAAGTTCAAAGCTCTGCTTGGTCTGGTCTGTACACTTATACCTGCAATATGGGATGCTCGTGTTTTTTTAATATATAAAAGGCTTCTCACTGTTATGACAAGCATGGTATTTAATTTGCTTATTTACCACGGTTTTGCCAGCGACACTGGGAATCGGATGCAACTTGATCGGTGCAATATTGAATGCTGCATGGCTGTGTCATCGCTTTACAATACATTACAGAGAACGTGCATTCCTGTATTGCAAGCAAATACTTATTATAATTTGGACATTAGAGATCAATTATTATAACAAAACTTAAAATATTGGACCGATAGGCCTCTGTCGCCTAGGAGCCTGCCTAATATTTGTTTCGTTGCTTAGAATAACAACACGTGTTATATTTTTCTCAACACGTAACATCAATTTGACTTTGAAACGAGACTTTGAAAAGTGGCAGAAACCAAACTATCCACGCATAAATATTGACACCTGCTGAAGTTGCCATCTTGATTCCAGGGAAATGCGAATGCTTGCTTTGTTCGAAGCTGTGCATGAAACCCTGTGCATTGTAACTCCCAAACGCTGTGCCGTTTCACCCCCACGCGTGCTTCCACTCCACTGCGGTCACTGACCCGCAAGCCGATGGTAAACTTGTGCACGCATCATCCGTGGGGTCGGCTCGTGCATTTTCCCCGAAGCGATCTCGGGTCTTCTCTCCGACACTGGACTCTTGCATGGTAAAGGTTCGCTCGAAAGCCAATGTGCAACCCGTCTGCCTTCCCTTGCGGTGTTTGACAGCACGGTTTGTGCCTGCCAGTGCTAACAGCAGACACGGCGATCTACCACAGGTGTTGTATTGTTTCGTTCTATAACCCGTAGCCAATAATAGTATCGGCAGGAGCCATTTGTCAATCCACTACTTGGGTGAAGGCCTCTTCGCCCATACCAATTGTGGGGGTTGTGTGACCAGACTTCACCACGCTGGTTAGTGTGGGTAGGTGAAGTGGGTGGTGCCCAGCATCGGTGTAGATATCGCTCGCCACTGATGTTAGCCGGGGCCTGTAATTTTACTTTTCGATGAGTGTGTAAATGAGCGTGGCCCGTTATTTTACCCACGTTGAAATGTTCAAGATCACGATGTCAAAAAACCAAGTCGAAGTCGTTGATCCCAACACATAAAATAAAAATATAAAAAAATATATTTTACCAGGTAAGGCCCACTGAGCTATACAGCTCTTTTTCAGAAGCGACCTGGCCACAAATGATGAGCTCAACGAAGTGGCTTATCACGTGGAAATTATTAGCAGTCAAATACTCTGAACGCATCTTTATTATAAAAGTGGAGTGAAAAAGCCGAGGGCCTGGAGAAATATCCACGTTACCACTGGAAAAACATGAAAACTCCAAATATACAGCAGGCATCAGGGTCGGGATCGAACCCACGACCTCCTTATACCAGGTGAGGTAGTTAACATTTCGCGTCCTCATGCGCTAGCCACGTGCTATTCTATAGCTGTATGCGTTCAAGTTTGTATTGCTTACAAATTTGAAGTGCATCGCCTTTGTAATACGTTTCTATCAATTTGTAGCACTTTTTTTGTAGAAACGAGAATGATAGTGACTTTGATTTGTAGCTAAAGTGGTTTGTACAGTAGCTTCAGTGTGATGCTTGTTTAAATGAGGGAGATGCTGTAAATGAAACAAAAAAACGCATTTAATTGCTCTGTTTTTAACATTGGCAAGATGATCGAGTTAAATAGCTCCGCATCGAAGCAGTTTTACGAGTCTTAATTTTTAAACCGCAATTATTGTCGCAATTATTCTCGCATTGTTTTGTGATCTCCTTGTGTTTTTTGTATGCACGGGTGCATGGTTTCAATAAACAAAACAAATAGATTCACCCTGCTGTTGTTAAGCCTGGTTGGTTAGTGTACACGGGACGCGCACGCATGGTGTTCACAAAGCCTGGAGGGTTCCGGTCTGTTTGCGCATTTGACGGGCTCAGATCGCATGCTCCCCCCAGAATACGCAAAAGGATTAAAAAATGTGGCACAGTGGCTTGACTTTTGACGAGTGCTCGGCTTCAGCCGGATCATTCCGGAATGCTGTTTCAGGTATTCTTTAGGCATTCGGCCCACATCCATCGCGACTTATTTTGTCCCCAATGCTGTTGTTTATGTATTCATATAATTATTATAGGAATATAGGGTACAATACTGTGTTACATAATGACAAATACCGTGTGAAATGAATCCTTGCTTATGAATCATTTGTACCCCCCCCACAATTGTTTTAAAATGCCCTCTTAATTGTGTGTCAATTACTGCCTTAAACGCTTCTAAAAATATAATCCTCAATTTACGCAGACTTCAAGGAAAAAAAACTCTATAAGTGCTGACGTTTTGGGCAATGGCCCTTCGTGGTGCTTTATTTTTTTCTTGACAAAACATCCCGCTTAACATTTTGCCTTTCCCCGTCTCGTGTTAACATTATTTCGGTCACTTTGCTGATGCAAATTTCCAAATGATAAGCCGCTTTGTTGAGCTATCATTTGTGGCCGGGTATACTTCTGAAAAATAAATTAATACCTCGGTGGGCTTTGCCTGGTAAGATAAAAAAAAAACAGTTTCGTTCCATTTGTATATTTTTAAGTGATTTGTCTACCTTTACTACGCTTTGCCCTCCTCTCGTGTTTTTTGCACTGTTGTTGTAGCATTCTGATCCCGCTCCTAACTGGACATCTGCGATATAAAAAGAGCTTCATAGCTCCATCGGATTCCTCCAGTATGAATAGATATTCTGACTCTTACTGACTCGGCCCGGTAACGCTGCGCGCCAGACTTTGGCACGCAAAGCGGCGACCGCCCAGAGTTTGGCGATGTCCATATCGGTTGGCAACTCAATCTTTCGACTCGTTAACGAGGTTCAGAGACCCACTGGCCGTGTCAGGCACTGAGACTTCAAAAACACCCCCCCACTCCCCATGCACGTTTTATCCGTGCAATGAGAGCACATTCAAGCCGCATGATGCTTTATCTCAATTAATGTGACTACGATTGTGTTAAAAAAGTAATTTGATCTTGCCAGCTTATGTTGTCATTTATAATCGATGCATATATTTGTTCTTGGTTCTTTCGGTAAAGTCACGTAGGAAGAAATTAAATTTAATAATAGAATACGACGTTTCGATTGCAATACAAGCAACCTTCATCAGATACAAATGAATGAGAAGACAAACATGGTAAACTTGGAAATATAATGCAATACAGCACAGAGAGTCGGCCAAACAAAACAGTAAACACCCTACCTGGTTGATTGCGTTCTTCCAGAGATTTCTAAATTTGGGAGAGAGTCAAAACATAGGCACGGAGACACACAGACAGACACACAAGCAGAGAGAGACTCGCACAGAGACGAACAAATTTAGCAATCTTTGGAAGAACGTAATCAACCAGGTGGGGTGTTGACTTGTGTTGGCCGACTCTCTGTGTTGTATTGCATTATATTTCCAAGTTTACTAGGTTTGTTTTTTCATTCATTTATACCTGATGATGGTTGCTTGCGTTGCAATCGAAACGTCGTATTCTATTATTTAATTTAATTTCTTTCTATGTGGCTTTACCGAAAGAACCAGAGTAATTCCTGCAGTCACGAAAGCTTCGAATCTAGTTTTTACATTTGTGCTGCATTTTGCTCTTGCACTGCGGTTGTGCTCAGATTTAGTTTTTATTTTCCTTGGTGCTTTTTATTGTTTTTTATAAAAAATAGTTTCTTTGTCATTTTCGTGACACCCTTAGTCGCTCTTGCAAACGACGCGGCCCCTGGTCTCTCTCAAGTTCTCACCGGGCTAAACATAACGAACGATTCATCTTCGTATGAAGTTCAGCCGCAGCTCATTGCACGGGGGAAAACCCCCCATATGAATTCAAAGACACGGGGCCATATTTGTTACATCGTCGTCGAACATTTTTGTTCAAACTAGGCCACAGTCTACTGGGACAGTGTAACCGCCACTCGCTGAGCAACAACACCCCGCACGCAACAGCCCATTGATTCTTTTCGAAGGAAGTTCCAAAGTTCGTTTCAAAGCCAAAAATAAAACTCGTAAAAAAACTTTTGCTGGTTTGTGATCTCTGGAAATTGGCCTTACCATCTCATTTTATTTTGATGACTAATAAATGCCTTAGTTTTGTGGTAATGTTTGAAACTTACCAAAACATTTTAGGTCTTTGTTCATTTATTGTATTGCTTTATTTCAAAAGGTTGGAATTGATGGGTCTTATTTAAACAAGTAATATTTACGGTAGAGTATTTTATATATTTTTTAAACGGCCAACAGTAAAAACATTGTCTTAAATCTGCAATACACTCAGGGTCAGATTCACATTTTGACAAGATGGTCAAAAATCATCTGGGCGATTTGCCCCATCATTGGTGATGAAATCCACGGCAATACTTCAGGGGGGGGGGGGGGGAGGCTCCTCTATCCAGCAGTGGATAGATCCCACGGCCGATGACAACGAAACCTCGGCACGTTTCCACCCCAAAAAATAAACATCCCGGGGAGCAAGTGAATCGGGCCCTGAATGTACCTCGCCTACAGCGCACAATACGTTACGCCGGTAGCGGTTCATCAATTAGTGGTCATTAAACGTTTAATTCTGTGTGTTCAGACCAAGGCCCCGATGTTCTGGTGAGTCGTCCGCGACCTCCGGGGGACCCGCAAACCGAGCCGTGGAGAGCCGACCCCCAAGCGGTGGCGGCGTCGACGTCGCCGCTGCCTTCCACCGGGACAGGGGCAGCCACGGAGCCCGCGGCAGCGGCACGGGTGGAGGAGGAGGAGGAGGCGAGGAAAAAGGTGAGTTGGTGCGGAGGACGAGGAGGAGGAGGAGGAACGCGCTGTGTAGCTTCCGTCGGATAGAGAGGAGGAGCCCTTTGCGGGGGACGGAGGGAAAATGAAAAGGGGAGGGGGGGGGCTTTTGAGAGAATCTTACGATGCACGCCCTCGTTCCGTTGCCAACTGTGCGACGTGCCACCCAGACGTCGAACCCGTCGGTGCATTCGCGCCTTGCGTAACCCGTGTTTACAAAGTGGAAATTCCTCGGAGGCTGTTGTCAAGACAAAAAAAAAGAACGGTCGGTGATTTCCTGCTCGAATGAGATTTATGTAGTAGCGGGTGCTTATCTATTCGCAGCCCTTAGTGGAACTCTCACATTCCTATGGCAGTGGGAGAGTCTTTCAATAGGACACGCACTGTCGGCGTCTTCATAACATCGTGTGAGTGGTATCGACCCCGGAAGGATGATGGGGCCGAGTCTTCACCCAACTAGGAATTGAACTTCGCAACTCTCCGATTGCGAGCTGCTCGCTCTCGCGCTCAGCCACGCAGGGTTGAGATTAGCAAAAGGTGTCGACCTAAAGCCGTGGCGTTGAAAAGTCTGGCAGCTGCCAGAGAGAGGCCACGGCAGTTCAATTGACACTAAGCTTCACAATGTGGCACCGTTTGGATTTACAGAACGTCTAAATGTCACCACATTTGCAGACGCTGCCCAAACAGGAAAAACGTAGTCTAGTCAGTTTTGAAACTGCACAGCCAGAATTTAAGAATTTTCTACTGATACACATAAGGTGCCATTGTTAAAGGTAATTGTCTGTAGTTTAAAGTGTAACACTTATTTATGGAATGCGTCAATGGTTTGACATTGACAGTGTAGAGAGAATTTATCCCTTTGCAAGAAAGATGGACATTATTTCTACCAGAATTACAATCCTAACTAGTTGGCATGCTGCGGGCCAAGTAAAAAACCACTTCGTGATAATGACGGTAATGTTTAATCCACATAGTTAAAATGTCTGAATTGTACGTCCGAAATCATGCAACTGGCCCGGCACGGAATTATGGGTAGAATTCTACACACAAGAGAGGGAATTGAAACACCTAATAGAGAGAGAGAGAGAAAGAGTAATCTATGTGTCTGTCCTGCTCCAGTGCTGATATTTACGCGCCGCACCTTGGCCGGGAATTAAACTCAGGTGTCTGGGTTCACAGTGCAGCGCACGAAGCACGACGGCCCAAAGCGGCCGGGGCGTGGCGCTGGCCACGCGATGACCCCCCCTTGTGTGCCGTGCCGGCCTTCATCAATGCTCGCTAACAAGCCGCTTGCCCTAACAGCCTGTGCAAGGATACACGGGTGATCTTTGTTTTTTTTTGTAACCTTTGTGTGTCGTGCCTGACAGCGGTGCCCAGCTGATAAGGCCTACTTCATCGCCAAGGAAATCTGCACGACAGAAAGGACCCACATCAAGGATCTAGAAGTCATCACGGTGGTATGCGTGCGAGAACATCCCATGCAGTGGACACAGGGGCTTAGGTACCAGCAGTGGACACAGGGGTGGACACAGGGGCTTAGGTACCAGCGGGTCTATCCAGGTCAGTATCCCGCACCCGGCACACCACGTCCTGAATACCTCTCGCTATGGCAGTAGGCACTACTAAGTCACGTGCCACCCACTCCATTCTACCAATGACCCGGAAAAAAAAAGTCGGTGAGAAAGTAAACCCTGGTTGAGCACATTCACTGCAATTTGAATGACCAATGGTGGTCATTCAAATAATGGAAATGATAAAGCTGTTTCAGTGAAGTTTATAAACGGGGAAGTTATTTTTTAAAATATATATAGAAAGCAAAACATTAAGTTTAACTCGCTGAAAAACTCTGCTGAAACTAATTGAGTTGGCAAAATAATTGACTGTTAATCTTGAGTGCAAATCCTGATCAGCTGTGAATTTTTGCCCGTCAGTCCTGTGGGATGGATCAAACAAGCATCACCTTGGAAAACATTGGCAAAAAGGTCGTAATCTGGATACACTCGGTGCCCACCGTAGCAATACGGAATTTCCACCAATGGTACTCCACAACCGAGGTGAAGTGTTTACACAGAAAAGCCTAAAAGGCGAGGCTCGGAGCGAACCTTTTTTTGCTTCTACGGTCAACAATTCGACAAGACGGATCTTGTTTTGCACGCCGGTAGGGAACTGAAGTAGCCTGAGAACGACTGCACGGGGCTACCAGCAACACATGCTGGGCGAAACGTGTCGCGAGTAAACAAGTTACGTGGGTTCTTTTTGTAGGGCGCGTGACAATGTGCTTAAAAGCACACAGCCTTTGTGCATTTGCAATGGGGGGGTGTGGGTGAATGTAACAAAACCCCCCTCCCCTACCACCCATCAGCAGTTCGTGAAGAACTGCTTCGTGGCTCTCTCGTCTTGGGGTCACCATCAAAAAACGCATTTGAGCAAACGCGGCCAACCGGCGGTAGCAGTGATAGACACCCCCAACTGTATAGACCGGGTTTTGTCCTCATTGTGACTCGCCAACACAGAATGGTCACCAATGCTCGTCGCTGCACGGCCCGTTTCTGACGAACCGTTTAAGCTGCTCTTAGATTGAGCGGAATTTTGCTTCGAGCAAAACTTGCATGCTTATTGATGTTAATATACCCCCCACGGTCGACATTGTAACGTTAGACACGTTGTGACGTTGGGAATGAGGGTGATTTGACGGCGCGTTGCGCGCGGTGTGCAGTGGTTTTCCAGCTTTCTGGGCCAGGAGAGCCCCATGTCCAGGGAACTTTCCTCCAAGCTCTTCTCCTCCTTCCAACCGTTGTGCGACTTCCACCGAACTTTCCTCAAGGAAGTGGAGACCAGGCTCACTCTCTGGTGAGAACGTCTGCAGGCCTCGCCAACGTTCATCGCGGCTCCACCGTTTGCCCCCCCCCCAATTCTAAACGGAACTATTTTTTTTTATTTTTACCAGGTAAGGCTGATTCTGACCTATATAGATTTTTTTTGAGACACGACCTGGCCACAAATGATAGCTCAACGAAGTGGCTTATCGTGTGGAAATGTATAGAAGCCAAATACTCTAGAAACGCATGTGGATTCTAAATGTGGAGGGAAAAACCGGAGGACACGGATAAAAATTAATACGATGCACGGGGAGAGAGACACGCAAACTCCAAATATACATGCGTCAGGGTCGGGATCAAACTCACGACCTTCTGTACACCAGGCGAGGTAGTTAACATCTCTCCACCGTGGCGTTCAATTCACCCGGGCTGCGACCGACCGATCTCTTCCAAGCTCAGAAGCCGAGCAGGAGTCGAACCTCATGAGTACTTGCATGGGTGACCGCCTGCATCAGGGCTTGCCAGGTGTTGTAGGCGTGCGGGCTGGCGAGGTGTAGTCTGGAGGTGACAGTGCTAATGAGAGTCGCCCCCTCGTATAGAGCAGAGTTGTTCTGGGTTTCTCCAGGTTCTCTGGGTTCTTCCTACAAGGCAAATGTTCATTAAGTGAATTTGCTAAATAGATGTATGGATAATGCACAAAGATACCCCGTCTAGCCTCTTTAACAGATTGTTGGGGCAAGTGCTGCTAGTGAGTAGCAGCCTATGAAGGCCGGCATGGCACACGAGGTAGTGGGTGGTCAGCAACACCGCTGGCCGCCTTTGTCTCCCGAGCGCGTGAAGTTTACACACCACACCAGCTACTCATTGGAGGCTGAGGCGGCCTTGGGGAGGCCCAGGATCGGTTCACAAAATCACCACTGGTGTTGGTGGCCGTGAGCGCGAATTTAACTCGGGTCGCCGGGTTTCGCAGCGGAGTGCAGCGCTAACCGAGGGGCTACCGTTCAACGCTCACGTGCGGTACGACACCGCTGCATGTGAAACGTGCAAGCGGGACGTTCCATCTCCCCAACGTCGTGGGTTCAACGTCTTCCGTTTATTGAACGGGTTTCATTTTTTACTTTGTTCAGGGAAGGCAAGTCGAATGCCCACCTCAAGGGTGACCACGAAAAGATTGGAGACATCATGCTGAAGAACATGCAGCTGTTCAAGGTTCGTTCGTCGAGTTCGACTTTTGCCCGTTAGCAGCGACACGATAGCGGACGTCTGGAGGCTCGCAGCTCAACGACGTATAACGATTTATAAAACAATTTACATTTCATCCTTCAGCGTTATATACAACGTGCTTCACGTCACGAGACGAAGCGTCCGTCCGAAACTCGCGCAGAGGCAGAACGGCCCGCGGAAGCGGATATCACAGAGCTGCCTCTGAGGTCCCTTCAAGTGACTTCTGTTCCGCACAGCAGGGGGGCGGGCAGAGTAACGTTTGTCACCTCACAAATCGAACTGATGTTCATTTATTTACGGAGGCCCGACTGTCAGCAGTGATGTGAGCAAGCAGGGAAACCGCTGCCGCCACCACCACGATGATGATGATGAGAGTTCTTATTAAACCGTTGTAGTTAAATGGGAATTTTGGTCTGGGCCTTTTCGGAGGGCCCTCACTTCCACCTGCTCGTGACGACGGCCCAGACCGACACTCACAATATTTATATCCTAAACGTTTAATCCGGCTTGTCGTGACTAACGTATACCCTGAAACATTTCCTATGATTGGCTGGGGCAGGCCAAAAAATATTTGATGAGAAAATGAAACCCTGAATATACACTCCCCTCCCCCTCCTTCCATTGACGTGTCAATGCACTTAGATATTGTTCTGCGATCTCCTCCTATCTTCTTCCATTGACGTGTCTTGTGACATGCCCCCTCGCCCCCCCCCCCCCACCCCCCCCGATTATTTTGCTCCTTGGAGGTGGCAACCCACGTTGTTGCCACCTCTCTCTCCACCCCTCTCCCTCGCTCCCCACCCCCCCGCCGCTCCTGCGGCCCTCCGCCCCGCAGAGGCTGGTGTGGCCGCTCTGCGGGATGGAGCAGGTGCTGCGTGGCCTGGAGAGCGAGGTGCAGGCCTCCCAGAAGCTCGCCGATGCCTGCCGCACCTTCGAGCTGCAGCGCGTGTGTCACCTCCCGCTGGGCGGGTTCCTGCTGCGCCCCCTCCAGCGCCCGCTGCACTACCGCCTGCTGCTCGAGCGCCTGTGCAAGCACCACGCGCCCGACCACCTGGACTTCCGCGATTGTCGCGGTGAGCCCCGAGCCGCTGGCAGTGGCGGCGGGGAGCAGGGGGATGGGGGGGGGAGAGCGGCGGTGGGGTGGGGAGCGGGGAGCAGGGGGGGGAGAGTGGGGGGCAGCCGTTTGAATCTCACGGACCACCCCCCCCCCCCCAGTTATTGCCCCCCCCCCACCCCCACCGCTGTGAGCCTACTGCAAAGCTATGCCTGCGAAACACAGAATCAGAATCTATTTTTATATCCCGGAGAAATCCAATGAGCCATTAAGCTCTTTTTTTTTCACACGTGAGAAGGAAAAAAAAAGGCATCACAATGTTATCATCGTTATTATTATTATTATCATTGTCGCTGTTACTGTCTTGCGTTTAATTTAACCGACGCGCCGTTTCTCGGTGGTGCGTGCGGCTGCTGGCAGCGGCGCTGGCGGAGGTGAGCGAGATTACCTACGGGCTGCAGGACACGCTCCTCCACCTGGAGAACGTCCAGAAGCTCATGGAGCTGCAGAGGGACCTCACCGACATGGAAGACCTGGCAATGCCAGGCCGGGTAAGCCGGGGCGACCGCCCTTCCCCCCCCCCGCCACGTTCCGTCGGGATCCAATTCGCGAGCGGGAGGGCTTCTTGCCGCGTCTTACAGGGGTTCGAGACTCACTGGCCGCCCCGGTTAATACTACGCGGGTGCCTTGCCAAAATAATACTGCGACATGCCGTCTGCTTCACGGTGGACGTTAAAGAGATCACGTGAAGTGTCGAGGTCCAGATGTTACTCCTGGCTTTGACATTCTACACCGGTGGTGTGACCATCAACAGCGTGAGAACCTCAACAGGCCGACAGTGCGCATCTCCATAATGGGTGGAACATGAAAGACGCAAGTCACAGTTGTGCGACTGCGTCCGTGCAACTCAGGCTATGGACCATGTAGTAAACCAATTTAGTCTGCACTCCTTCAATGGAGGTAAAATAGTAAAATTCACACGAACTCTCTCCTGGAGCCCTCTCGTGGCTAGCAGACCTCGACGATGGCATTTGGCTCGTGAACGTATTGCCCTCACGCGCAAGAAATAGTCCACATTTGTCTACGTTTGAAGATTACTCGCAAAGTACCGAATCGGGTAAAACCACACAGCAACATCGCACTCTATTGGTAGACCCTACCTGTGAAACACGATAGCATGTGATTATTTGTGACAGTACAACATTTTTCTTTGGTTCTTTCCGTAAAGTCACGTAGAAAGAAAATAAATAAAATAAAATACATAATCTTTGACAGTTAATTGACAACGAAGTTTTCAGGATCACTGTTCAATTCAAGAACCAATTGTATTTTTCACGTAAGTGTAATTTCACGTTGAACTGAAACGTTTTACAAGTGCTGTAAATTCTCCACCACTGGCTCAGTGCTATAAGCGGGACATGAGCGTCACCTCAATCTGGTCAGTTGAACGTGGAATTGCTTTTTAACGTTTCCACTTATTGCATCGTATAAGACGATATCCGTTATATTCTTGGTTCTTTCGGTAAAGTCACGTAGAAGGGAAACAATAAAATCATAAACATATAAAACAATGAAATTTTCACGACGTTTCGACTGCAACACAAGCAATCATCATCAGGTGTGAAAACCACAGCAAGAAAATTTCACGTCGTGAGAATTTTATTGTTTTATATTTTTATTATTTTATTGTTTCCCTTCTACGTGACTTTACCGGAAGAACCAAGAATATGAATCCCTGCAGTCACGATAGCTTTAAATCACGATATCCGTTGTTGTTGTTGTTATTGTTGTTGTTGCAGGAGTTTATCCGCGAGGGCTGTCTGCACAAACTAACGAGAAAGGGCCTTCAACAGCGCATGTTTTTCCTCGTGAGTTGGAAAAGTTAAAAGAAAAGTCGTGCATGTTTTAGCGTTGCGTCTTCGTCTTGATCAGCCGCAGAGAGTCGACAGCACTGGCGGGTGGGGGAAGGGACTTTCAGATTACTTTGGAAGCAGTTTGAGAATAATGAATGACTTCCCACTCGGCGAAGGTTCACCGGGAGGCTTTGACAGAAATTCTTCTATTCTGAGGCGGAGAGAGTGTGGAGGGGCGTATAGTGAGGGGAGAGATATGGGAATGTGTAGAGGGGAATACTGTGAGATAACAGTGGAGGTGTAGGCAGTGGATGAATTTAAACGAACTACACCTAACGCCCCAGAAAGTAAGAAGCAGCACAAGACTTGTGCCCGGTGTCAATCAATGTCGACAAATCTGGTCACTCGCATGCGAGGACATCTACTGGATTATAAGACGCACCTACAACTTTTGTTTCAAAATACAGGGGGGGGGGGGGGGGGGGGGAGTGCATTATACTCCGGAGAATATTGTAATTGTGAAATATTGTGTGATGGAATTTGAGACCATAATAAGTTGATGGTAAATGTAGCACAGACTACAACAATGTAGCAGAGATGACAGCAAAAAAATGTACTTTTTCAGATACCCCACTGATTTATAACAACTCTATGAATTTTCTACTCAATAGGCGTGATTGAATTTTGGTAGAGCCTCAATTCCATTTCGTAGAGATTATCGAGAGTGCTGAAATATTTTACAAGTTGTTTGAGGTTGGTGGGAGACACGTAGAGGCTTTGAAACAATTTGCCCTCTACCGTAAAGTTATTATTATCTTGCGTGGAGTAGTGGGGCTTCTACAAATGGATCACTTCGTATTATTCAGATTTTATTTCACTCGTATTGGCCCAAGAAGCACATCAATTGATCACCGCCTAAATCCGCCAGTCGAGGAAAATGCCACGATCAGAGCCAAGAGTTTAGAGATTAAATCTTGACGAGCGCGCCGTATTCTGCACATTTCACCATGACAAAGCACCCTGAAATGGTTGTCGACTGAAAAAAAGAAGTCTAAACCTACCCGGAAAATGTTTTGTTAACGAAACTTAATAACTTGAATGAAAGAACAAAAAACTCTCTCTCGCCTCTCAACGCGCTCCGACAAAGGGCCATCGCCCAAAACGTCGCATATAATATACATATTTTTTTCTCACGGTCACAATGTTATTACTGACGAACGTCTTGAGATGTTAAATTTCGATTTAAAGCGTTCGTGACTGCAGGGATTCATCTTCTTGGTTCTTTCGGTAAAGTCACCACGTAGAAGGGAAATAATAAAATAATAAAATTAAAACATAATAAAATTCTCACGACGTTTCGGCCACAACACAAGAAGCCGTCCTCAAGTGAAGAAACAGAACTGTCGGAAAGACATTGGAGCGCTGTCTTTTCGACAGTTCTGTTTCTTCACCTGAGGACGGCTGCTTGTGTTGTGGCCGAAACGTCGTGAGAATTTTATTATGTTTTATTTACTATTATTTTATTATTTCCCTTCTACGTGACTTTACCGAAAGTCTTGAGATGTTGTTTTATTTTAATAGGGTGCAATTGTGGACAACAACCATATCAGACATCTCAATCGGCATCATCATTGGTTCACTGCAGCTCAAAGACTCACTCCTACAAGGCGTGTAGTGCATTTTCTTGGTTCTTTCGGTAAAGTCACTACGTAGAAGGGAAACAATAAAATAATAAAAATACAAAACAGTAAAATTCTCACGACGTTTCGACCGCTGTGGTTTTCATACCTGATGATGATTGCGTGTGTTGCAGTCGAAACGTCGTGAGAATTGTATTGTTTTATATTTTTATTATTTTATTGTTTCCCTTCTACGTGACTTTACCGAAAGAACCAAGAATATGAATCCCTGCAGTCACAAAAGCTTTAAATCAAAATGTGGTGCATTGTTTCTCGTGGCAAATGAGAGTAGGGTTCAAGGGTTGCTCGCCCTTGAGCCCAGATACATTTGAGCAGTGCGGTGCAGGCATAACGCTATACATGACCTGATCTGAAAGCATCCGAAGACTCATAAGAGATCGTGTTGTTGTTGTTGTTTGTGCTTGACAACATGAATGGGGTCGGGGGGGGGGACTCGCCTGAGCGGCTGAATATTTGCCTTGCGATTTCAGTTCAACGACATGTTGGTGTACACCAGCAAGTCGCTCACCACCAACAACCAGTTCAAGGTCCACGGCAAGATGCAGCTCAGCACTCTGAAGGCACGACGCACAGCCCCCCACGTGCCACGCACCTCAATTATCACCCCTCCCCCCGCCCCCCCGCCCCGACCCGTCTCCTCCGCCCACGACAATTCTCACCGAGGATCTCAACGGTGCTGGCTCAGAGTCTCTAGACCTCCGAGCCACGGTGGCGAGTTGTTCACTACCTCGCCTGGTATACAGGAGGTCATGGGTTCGGTCCTGATCCTGACGCCTGCTGCTGTATATTTGGAGTGTGCGGTGTCCATCTCCCCGTGGGTCGCGTGGAATTGTCTCCGGGTCCTCCGGTTTTTCCTTCTGCATTTAGAAACACGCGTTTCCACGTGATAAGCCACTTTGTTGAGCTATCATTTGTGACCAGTTCGCTTCTAAAAAGTAGCTATATAGCATATTTGTAGATTGCATATCTCTCTTCCCGTGGGTCACGTGGATTTTTCTCCGGTTGCCTCCGGGTTTTCCCCTCCACATTTCGAATCAACGTCACGCATTTAGAGTTTTTGGGCTGCTATAAAATTCCCCCACGGGATGACGAGCGCACGTTGCGAAAGCCCGGTCGCTTCTGGAAAAGAGCTACTGTACGTAGCCCAAGAGCGGGGGACCCTTACACCTGGTAACAACAATAATTTAAAAAAACATTGTTCGTAGTTTGCTCGTTTTGTTTGGGCCACCGGGCCCGCCTCTGCTGGCCCGCGAGGTGACGTCGGCTCTCACGCTCGTCTTGTCCGTCGTCGTTCCGTCCCAGATCACAGCGAGCGAGAGGGAGTTCTCGATCCCTTGCTCCTTCACCCTGTCCACCCCGCAGAAGCACGTCGTCGTGGCTGCGAAGTAAGTGCCGGAGGCGGCCGGTCGACACGGTGGGGGGGTTTTGTGGGGGGGTGGGGGGGGCGGTGGGGGTGGGGGGGGTTTGTGGGGGGGTGGGGGGGGAAGCGCAGCAGCGACCTGGCAACAAAGTCAATAGGGTCTTTCCGTTGTGGGGGCACATGATATGGCCAGCATAGGATCTATCACGGCACATGATATGATCACGGCCAGCACATATGTCGTATTCATGGGTGAGCTCGCGTCAGTATAAATGTGTCGAAACCCTCCACCACCCGACACGGCCAATCAGTAAGGGATTTGTCACGTTAACAAAATGCCAAATAGTTACTAGTTCATCCCAACGGCGTGTTGGAGAGTGAATCCGCGATACGTTGCAATCTCTCTGTGCATCGCGGCCCCGGTGACCGTCGATGTCTTGTTTGCTTGGGCCGGGGCGAGAGGCGGGGGTATCCAGAAGTAGTCTTGATGTGGAGTGGGGGGGTGGGGGCGGTTGGTGCTGCATACCAAGGAGGCCAAGGACCTCCGCTGTGCAGAGTCACGGAGGCCGATCCGACCGGCGCGGGAGCTCCAAACGTGCCTGGCTGCCCTGGGAGGCTGGGATCACGACGCCTCCCGACGGCACAGGAATAGCAGCCCTTCCCCAAAATTAAATCACCCACGCCGGCGACAATCGTCAACGCGGGGTGGCGGGCGCGTGGCGACGCCGCTTCAGTTTCGCCGCATCCACCTGTCCCCCGTTCAGTCACTCGTACCCCCCCCGCCTGCCATGCTCCCGTCTTGACTATTCGTCTGCCTGCCGTACGAGCGTCTCTCCAGTAGCAAGGGCCACGTGATAGCCGTCTTGTTAAACGCCGGATTTTGGCTGTGGACGACCAACGCCCGCTGTTCTTGAGAACCCGCTGTAATCGCAGGCGGCCGAATCCTGGAATCAAACCTGGAATCTCAGAGGTACCAGCTCGGTGCTCCGACAGAAGGGCCACCCACCCGGCCGCCCTCTTGCTTTGCATTTGATTTGGCAAAAAATTCTAACTCTTGAGATTTTTAAATACTATCGGTTTCACTGTCACGCTGTGTACAATCAGAATCGGAATCTTCATTTAGACCGGAGGAATCCGATGAGCTGTGAAGCTCTTTTTCACAGATGTCCAGCAGGAGAACCTGGTGTAATGGCAGTGCTCGTGAAAAACTTACCCTAAACCTAATCCTAACACCAACCCTAAACCTAATCATAACTCCAACCCTAATTCTGATGTCACCGCGGGGGTGGAGAGGGGGGTTACTATTTCTGCAAGGGGAGTCTTGCTGACCAAATATAATTGATACCCTGGGGCTCACATAATGTAAGGCACTGAGAATACACATTCCAAATCCGGTGGAGTCCAAATGCCATCTCGCACCTGCTCTTGTCAGAGCAGTGACCGCCCATCCCAGCGAGCCCGTCCACACCGGACACCTGTGACATCACTGCAAAAGGAGCTTCACAGCGCATGGTATTCCTCCCGCGGTCTAAATCACGATTCCGATTCTGACGCCACAACGCGGCTCGGTTACGGCGCGACCGATGCGACGGGATTCGGGCCCCGACGCTGCGGCAGCGTCGCCGTCGACGACGACCGCCACACCCCCTACACCCCCCCCTTCCCCCGGCGAAAATCTCCGCGTTGCCGCTCGCAGCTCGCCGGAGGAGATGGACAAGTGGGTGGAGGACGTCACGCTGGCGGCGAGGCGCGCCGCCGCCGCCGACGACGACACGGTCGGCCACGCCACGGCCGGCCGCTCGCCGTGCCGCGAGACCGACATCGTGGACAGCCACATCTGTGAGTCGCACGCTACCACGGCCCAGCACGGCGCTCACACGTGGACCTAAGGAGCGGTGGTGCAGCGGTTAGCGCCACGCCGCGCCACGCACCCGGCGATGCGAGTACAATTCCCGCTCGTGGCCAACACCGGTGACGATTGTCTGAACCGGTCCTGGGCCTCCACTAGGTCGACTCGGCCTCAGATGCTGGCCACCCACCCCCTCGTGCGCCGTGCTGGCTTTCATAGGAGCTCGCTAACAGCACTTGCCCCAATAGTCTGTCAAGGCTACGTGGGGGGGGGGGGGCTTTTATCTTCCTCTTTGTATGTGTGTGTATATGCTTCTAATCTGTGCGGAGTGGTGGCGGTGTGGTTAGCACACTGGGCTACAAACCCAGTGACCCGAGTTCGATTCCCGCTCACGGCCAACACAAGTGACGATTGTCTGAACCGGTCCTGGGCCTCCCCTAGGTCGACTCGGCCTCAGATAAGTACCTGGCGTGGTTTGTAAACATGAACATTGGAGAGATAAACGCGGCTGGGCTGGCCACCCACCCTCTCGTGTGCTGTGCCAGCCTTTATAGGCGCTACTTGCGAACAGCACTTGCCCCAAAAGTATGCAAAGGCTACATGTGGGATCTTTGTCTTTGTGTGTGTGACTCTAATCTGTTAACCCATAACACCTGACCTCCGCACGGGGAGATTTCACCTTTCCACCCACAGCGCTGGGCTCCCTCCCTTGATAACTCGTCACGCCTTCGCCGCTGCACACATCCTCAGAGTGTGCCGAGCCTGGTGCGGATGCTGCGGTGATATCAGTGACGCCTGATGACGAATGGCAGCTGCCCTGTGTATGTATACTATGTATATGTCCAACAGATTCAAGCGCTGGATTTAGAAGGGTCTGATCGACACCACACCTTTGAAACTTCATCAAGGGTGTATCGATAGTTCAATGTTAATGTGCCATTTTATCTTGGTGTGGTCTGGGATTGTTTTGTTGTTTTTGCTACCTTGCCGAATCTTGATAATATAATTAATGTATGTCTCATTTATCTATTTTTAGTGACTCTATTTTTGAACTCCTATTTTGTGTTTTTGTGCATCGCTCGCTGTCGTAAACTTGCCGAACCGCCCATACTGGGACATCTGAGAGAGAAAAAAACAAAGAGCTTCATAGCTCATCGGATTCCTCCTGCAGTCTAAAATGTAAATATTCTGATTGCGGTAGAGAGACGCACAAACCCCCCCCTTATGGCCTCGTGATGGGCGCCGGGCCACAATCGGCAGAGCCCAGTCCGAGGCAGCCTTGAGAACTGTGCTTCAAATGGTTGCGGCAGACGATGATTTAAAGACGGCGGTCACCGTATCATCGCCACCGCGCGCTTTCCACATGCGCTTCTGCGGCCGTCTGGAACGCTCTTCCCACCCGTTATTAGGAAGCCCGCCGTGAACCGTGCACTTTTAAATCATCTAGATTGACTAAGTCATTTCTTTAGAACTGACTTTCGTGTTTAGTTTGTCGTCCTTCCCCCGCACCTCCGATTAGCGCAGTTGGCTACATACGGTGCTAAAAGAAGTTCAACATACACACATGTCATTACTCTCAGGCACTTCTGATTTCAGCACTGACATGCGAATGTATGTGCGTGTTGCATGGCTATTCGGCATGACACAATACACTTCTCTGTTCGTCAAATATGAATACACGATACACGCATTGCACCCAAAAGTCGCCGTGATTTCCCGCTCGTATGACCATTAACGCTGCATTCATTGCCTGTCCAGAGCCCTGAGCAAGTGGCGAAAATTCCACATTCCGATGGCAGGGCCGAGATTAACCATAGGACAACCACTGTTGACTTACACATTAAGTGGTACACGATTTTATCCACCTTGGTGGGATGATTGGCTGAGTCAACCACCAACCAGGATTTTAACTAGCGGCCTTCCCATTGTGAGCCGCTCCTTTTACTGCCCATCTACCCACATCGAAAAAATAGGAATTTGTTTTTGCCCTTTCTGGCAATAAACCTCTTCTTATTTTTCATATTTGTGTCGTGGTTGAACTTTACACGAACAACTTTTGTCTTTCTTCACCCACGTCTTTATTTTCATCGTTAAACACGTCCTCCACACTCCACCGTATCCCGGACACCCTGCTCGCTCGCCGTGCTTCGCCCGTCTCGCTCACCACCTTGGTTCCCAGTAGCACGTCGCTTTGCTCCGCACACACACGTCTTCAACTCCTCTATCACTACGCTCTCTCCACTGCTGGCTATCCTCCTCGGCTCCTCCGCTATACAGCGTCGTCGCACACAGCGAAACCCAATCTCACTTCTCTGTCTCCGCCACACCTCGTCTCCAGCTCCTCTATTACTACGCTCTCTCCACTGCTAACTGCTCCGTCTTCTTCAGCTTCGCTATCACTATACTCACTCCACTGCTAACTGCTTCGTCTTGCTTCAGCTTCGCTATCACTATGCTCACTCCACTGCTAACCGCTTCGTCTTGCTTTGGCTTCGCTATCACTATGCTCACTCCACTGCTAACTGCTTCGTCTTGCTTCGGCTTCGCTATCACTATGCTCACTCCACTTCTAACTGCTTCGTCTTGTTTCAGCTTCGCTATCACTATGCTCACTCCACTTCTAACTGCTTCGTCTTGCTTCGGCTTCGCTATCACTATGCTCACTCCACTGCTAACTGCTTCGTCTTGCTTCGGCTTCGCTATCACTATGCTCCAACTCTTCTAAACTCTGTTTCCGAACTCCACGTCTTCACCGCACAGCTCCGAACTCCACGTCTTCACCGCACAGCTCCCAACTCCAAATCTCCCCCTCTCTCTCTCTCTCTGTCTCCCCCCAATTTATCCCCATTCTCATTATCGCTAATTAATTGGTCCGCGTGCTTCCGCACGCCTCGCGTCTTCAACCACCTCCCTTTTTCCAGACACCTCGACGCCTCCTCGGCCCCAGCAACAGCACCAACCAATCACAGCCCTTCTGGCTTAATTGGCCCGACCGTTACCTCATCACCCCAGCCTCTTCACCTGGCTGTCCTCACACGACCCCACTGTTTCCGCCGTCTCCTCAGGCTGACCCCAGATAAACCCCACACCGTCCGTGTGATCAATACACTCGCGCAGTTTCCCTAGCACACCTTCCTACTCCACTACATCTGTATCCTGCCAAAAAAGGTCCCATGATATAAATGCTCGCCCCGAGCTATATAAATGCTCTGATACGTGCATTGTCTTTGTTCTGTTCGCCTTTTAGCGTTCTGTAGTCTGACACTGGTAGTGAGAATAGGCCACAAAGAAGGGTGTCTCTGGTGTAGGTCAATCCGTTTCAAAGACAGTGTACATTATTATCAGAGGATGTTTATTTGCATGTTCACCACAAGTATGTGTGGGTAATGCAGACGATCTATTTGGTGTTTCGACATCTTACCACCACATGTTTTATGACCGGAAATGGTAAAAACCTATTATTATTATTTTTCATACTTTGATACTGGCAAAAAGGTTACCATACTACACCCACATCGAGTTGCACAATGTAACAATAGATCTTGATTTGAAGCTTTCGTGACTGCAGGAATCCATACTCTTTGGTTCTTTCGGTAAAGTCACGTAGTTAGAAAATAATAGATCACGTCGTTTCGATCGCAACACAAGCGATCGTCATCAGGTGAGACAATCACAGCAGGAAAACTGCTCACCTGATGACGATCGCTTGTGTTGCGATTGAAACGTCGTGATCTATTTTATTTTCTACCTACGTGACTTTACCGAAAGAACCAAAGCAGTAACTGTAGATCATTAACAATGCATCCAAATCGTATGCAAACGATATGGTTTTTGTTTGCCTAATGGAGCAAAGCGAGCTGGTACAAACGAGAATGAGAAACAAGACAAGTGAGGTGGTAACAACAAGAAATTCATAGATTCTTGAATCGAATCGGCACCCTGAATTGTGGCAGTTGATATCATCACCGGGTGTGTGGACCGATTCGCCATGCGCCTGGTGAGGATTTCCGTGCACAGGGCGTGCAAATCCCTCGGCGTGTCAAAAAGCATCTCAACCATCATCCCATTGCCCCATGGCAGTTTAGCCAGGGGGACCTCCAATGGCAACTGTCCCTACGCTGCGCACAGCACCGCCTTGCAGAAACGGGCACGCAGTCTGCCGATGAAGTAATTATATCGAGACATTTTTTTCCCCTTCTTATTCTAAATTTAGAATGACGTCGAAGTCACGCGATCTTTCGAGGAATCTGATGAGCTATGAAGCTCTTTTTCACCGATGTCTAATAGTTTTCACGGATGTCCAGTAAATGGCAGGGTGACACACCATCATTGTTGGTCATTACTTATAACGGTTGGAGCGCTGTACATCAATTCATCAAATCGGCGCTTGTTTTCACGATACATCAATCGCGTGCTTGAGAAAAATAAATTTTCATCGTATATGTTGCACTTAATAGCCTTAACATAACCTCTGCAGCTACCGGAGGCGCTATCATTCACAGTAATGATAAAAAAAAAAATCCATTCTTGAATTGTCACCCTGGATCACGGTATAATCCGTCGAATCGCCGGGGAGCGAATCAGTCACGGGCCCACCACTCACGTGTGCTTGTTGTCCGTGTTGATCGCCATCGCGACAACAACTCCGACTGTGCACCTGATGACGCTAGTTGCAATGACTGGCGAAACGTCACGCTACTCAAATTGTAAATGTAGTGGGATTTACTCCAACACACCGGTGTGCTGTACTCATAACGAATTGCCATGTTTAGTTTACGTGAAACCTTGCTAATCGGCTGTGTCGGGTGGCGGCGGGTTTAACAACACATTTTTTACTTACGCGGTCTCACCCCAAAATAACCTCTATTATGGATGAGTAAATAGGTACTTCACGATGCACCTCTGATCGACGTCGATATTCGCGCTCGCCCCCGTACGAGGCGTTCCGTTTCCCCCTTCCAAGCAAGGACTGAGCAGAAGACGCGAGCGCCGTTTCCCCGCCTACCCCCTCCCCCCCCCCCGCTCCGCGAAAAACCTGTCGCTCCCACCCCACCCCCGCCAGACTCCTCCGACGACCAGGAGGACTCTGCCGAGGACGAGGCCGCGTCTCCGCGGAGCCCTCACGGAGCCTCCTCCGAAAGGCTGTCCGTTCACCAGCAGACGAGCAGCACCGTGCAAGTGTGCTGCCACCGGCAGACCAGCGTGTCCCTGCTGGACATCAGCCGGGCGGCTGAGGTAGCGCGGGATAATCGGGGGGGGGGGCAGGGGGGGCGGGGGGGGAGGGGGGTGGGTTCCGGTCTCTGTCGTGAGTTTCTCGTCAAAGTCTAAAAGTGAAGGTGACCAATTTTCTCGCGTAGGGTTCCGAGGCCAACGCCGTTTGCCTGACGATGACAGGCAAAAAAAAATTAAAAAACGACGTCAGTATAAATGGGGCGCAAATTGAAGAAGCGCGGCGACGACACGTGCTGCCCAATTACACCGAGAGGCACAGCGGGTAGGGACGCGTGGATCAGAGAACGACACCAAACAAGTTAGTGGCGTCATTTGAACTGCCTCGGGTGCCCAGGGATACGCGCACGCATGACGTGTCGCCGTGTGTAACGGCGAAATCTGTAGACATTCGCTCTTCCTCCCTGATCCTCTCCACGTGCCGTGAAGAAGGGGGCATCGCCCGAAACGTCGCCGACAAAACGCACGCTCGTTTCGTGATGCCCCCGGCGTTATCGACGGACGCGTTGAGTTTGCGTGCAATGCGAACACGAAAGGGCGAAGGTTGGTGGCGGGCGCAGTGGCGCTCCGCGGTTGGGTTTGGGTGCTGGGGTTAGGGGGGCACGGCAGAGCGGCGAGTTGCGGCTGGGGCACGGCGGAGCGGCGTCCCGGAGCTCGACTCGGGCCGTCGCGTTCGGTCTCACGAGGTGAACGTTCAACGTCGTCAAAAGATTCGCCCGGCACGTGTCCGCCACCGACACCGGGAACAAACCCGGGACCCTCCTCGTCATCCACATTGAAGCGTTGTTTTCCTCCCGACTGCCGTTGTTGTATCTTCCTTTCAGGGCGTGCAGCGTTCACTCTCTTCCTTCTTTTCTCCAGTTGGATCTGTGTGGATCTTTTCTCCCGGGAGGATGCCCGCGCCGATTGGTTTTCTCCCCGCTGTTGCCATCAGTCCGTCTGTGTTTTTTTTTTTAATTCAACTCTCCTTTCCCCTCTACAACCGGCATGCTGAGCCAGGCTGTGCCGGGCAAGTTCTTGTGGTGTCAGCTGCTGCTGCTGCTGTTGCCGCTGCGTTTGATTCCCCTTTTAAACCTCCGTCTCTTGCCTCGCGTCGCCCTCTGTCTTCGCGTTTTTCCTTTTCAACTTTTGTCCCATCGGTTTCCTCGACCACCCCGCTGTTGCTTGTGCCTAGTCTCTCCACCCCTGCCTCCCCCCCCCCCGGCTTTACAATTTATAATTGGTGGTTGGGTTGGAATACTGCGCAGCATGCACCCGGTTGGTTCACGCACGCACGCTCGCAAGCACGCCCTCTCGTGTGTACATTGAACTTCTCTCGCACCCGTACGTAGCCAACCGTGCCTCATCGTGGCGGTGACGGCCCTTTCGCACAGTCGGCAAGGAACAAAAATGCGCCCCGCCTAACCGACCCCCCCCAACTCGTCCCAATTTCCTCCTCTCTCTCCCCCACCCCCTCTCTCTTCGTAGCCCCGGGCGACCAGAGGGGGCCCCCCTTCGGCCCCTGGGTCTCCGCTGCGGTCGGGGACCGTGCGCCCACCCACCGCTCTCGAGCTCTCGCCTTGCGCCCCCTCGAAGCGAATTCCAAACGCCTGACTCGCACCGCCGCCTTTTCCCTCTTCGTGCGTGCGCTGTCCCTCTACATCCCCCCTCCGACGCTCTGCGCTCGCAGCCCTGACCCCGTCACCGCCGTCCCCGTGGCCCCGACCTCCTTCTCCGCGCCCGGGCTACCGCCACTGGCGATGTAATTCCCTTGCCCACGTCTGCTGGTACCGACGTGCCGGCCTCTCCTTTGGTGACTACCTAGACATGCAGCAGGTATTGAATATGAACGACTCGTGGTTCGGTCTAACACGTAGGCTTCCGCGACTGATATATATATATTTATCCGTTATTATGAAGTAGCAGCTAATTGGCACATTTTGTTGACGTGGAAAATCTTGCTAATTGGCTGTGTATCGGGTGGCGGTGGGTTGACGGCACGTTTATTCTTACGCGATCTAAACCGAAAGAATACCCTTCATTACGGATCAGTCATCCACAACGCCTTTGCCAATCCACTGCTTATATGATGAAGCCCAGTGACGTAGCATTGGTGTGAACCAAGGAATGAAACTGGGCTTCAGTGTCCACGTTTCTTAGCCCTTCCTCCCGCTTTGGTAGCCTACCGCCTGGGCTCATTTTTTTTTTTTTAACGTAGGTGCGACAACTCAAAGCTCCGCACGGACGGATTTCAACCTCGGGCAGATCCTAGTGCATCAGACCGAACAATAAAAAGCTGCCTCGGTGATTTCTGCCTCGAGGATTTGAATGAAACAGCAAAGTGCTGCGTGTGGATACCATAATAAAAATGTCCGCAGCGCAACAATCTACCTGAATAATGTATGAATTGAAGGAACGTTCCAACTTTATAAAGCCCCGAGTTGCGTAGGGAAATTTGCGCCCTACGGATGTTGGTCACGGCCTTTCCGTCGAATTCTTCGAGCCGTGTTCTATTGCCCGACTCGGTTACAAACCACTCCTCTTAGGGTCCGCAAACTTTTCCCGCACGCGTTCACAGTGAACACGTGCAAGAGCAAACCCCGAAACATTTGTTAGGTGTTCAGTCGGGGAACTGGGGTTGCAATTGTCTCTCGAGATGGCTTGTTGTGCACAAAATGCTCACGTTGGAAGATGAGCAACGTACATTTTTTTTTTCCCTTCCACGGAAAGCGGGGTGTACACAACGAGACGCTAAATGAGAATGATTGGAGAAAGGAACCTTAGATATCTCGGACATGTTATGAGAAAACAAGACGTTGAATGCGAATGGATGTTGACTGGGAACGGTCGAGGCACAAAAAGCCGGAGAATTAAGTGAATTCGGCTACAGAAGGAATTTGAACAATTGCATGCAACTGGGAGTGCGTCGTGCGAATTTCTCGAGTGAATAGTAGCGTGGAGCGAGGTGCGTGGAAGAAGGCCGCGATCTGTTTGAGAAGGGACGTGGCATGTAAAGGGACGCAGATATTTCACTACAGAAATGTCTTTCTCATAACTCTCTTTCAGGAGGGTCTTGCTAAGATGTAGCAGTAGGTGGCGGGGGGGGGGGGGGGTGGTGCGATGATTGCGCAATTACGGTACTCAACGTTCCAATTTGACCAATTTGCAGGATAAACGTTTCTAATTTGGACCGTGACACTGGCGCGCAATGGCCACGATCTCGTCAATAAGCCACGTGATCTGCAACGTCCGCTGCAAGAAGCAGAGGGTGCATTCATGAAAAAAAAACACACACACATCGACGATATTAATCATGGCCCTCCGCTGGATTCGAACCGTGACCTCTGCGGCGAGAGGCAAACTGTACTGCCTGTCGGTCCGCGTCGCCGCGACGAATTTAACCGGACGCGTGCCCGTAGGTTCAGCCCGTACGTTGGTATATTTCATTGTGGACGCATGCGTTCGTGAAATTGCTAAGCGACAAACGTTAACCTGTAATAGCAGCTCAATTAGAAACAAAAGAAACAAAGACGACTGTCTCCGTGTATAATCGCCCAGAATGCACCCCCCCCACCCCCGCCGATCTCATCAGATCTCAAGCTAAGCGGGGCCGCAGCCTGGACAGCGCATGGTTGGTCGATCACAAAGCACGGAGAGGTTGTCGAAGGCCTGCATTGTGGGGGCGCCGAAAGGGCAGTGCTGCGAAATGTACCGTTGGAATGTACTTCTATGCTCCCACACCTCCTATGCTCCTCGCCTTCACCAAGCAGCCCTCGGCCAGCCGTGGTCAATGCAGCAATGGTGAAAGTAACGCTCCCGTGGCGTGCACGGAGTGGGGAGACTATCGTCCAGCAGAGGATTGGCACAGGAACACCGCGTGCGTGCGTGCGTGCGCGATTCCTACATTGTAAGGTGATGCGCATCGTCGTCGACAGTCCTCGTTGTAAATCTCACGCCGGTGGTCTTTGCTCTCTCTCTCTCTCTGCGCGTCCGTCAGAACCAGCTGTCTGGCTACCTCCTGAGAAAGTTCAAGAACAACAGCGGCTGGCAGAAACTCTGGGTCGTCTTCACCAACTTCTGCCTCTTTTTCTACAAAACTCACCAGGTGAGCGTATATCTCCCCGCGTGGGAAACGCTACGGGCTGCGTAGTGACCAGCTGGGGGCCCCGCGCTCCTTCAACGGAGGAGGAACAGCAAAACCATACGAGACAAACATCATCATCATCACCAAGCATCGCCATCATCACCAAGCATCATCATCACCAAGCAGCATCATCACCAAGCATCATCGTCATCATCATAATCACCAAGCATCATCATCATCATCACCAAGCATCATCATCATCACCAAGCATCATCATCATCACCAAACATCGTCATCACCAAACATCATCAGCAAGCATCATCATCATCAGCAAGCATCGCCATCATCACCAAGCATCGCCATCATCACCAAGCATCATCATCATCATCATCACCAAACATCATCATCACCAAGCAGCATCATCACCAAGCATCATCATCATCACCAAACATCATCATCACCAAGCAGCATCATCACCAAGCATTAGCATCATCATCAGAGCACTGATCTCAAGAAGCTCCACCTGAGGGCAGCATCGCTCAATGCTCACTTTGCTGCATCTCGTCTTCCCGCTTGTTTACGTATTCAAGCTACGCGTTCGGCACGATGTCCGACGTTTCGCTCCACGCCCTGGGAGCGTCTTCGTGAAAAGTCAAATTCAAGTTCCCCGAAGAAGTGCTCAGTATGGGTGTTTGTTCGGCCAGGATGTCCGACGTTTCGGTACGACCCGAAAACATATCAGAGAGCAGAACGGCACAACCACGAAAAAAATAAAAACCGACTGGGTAATGCCGCATCTCACCGTGGCGGTGACACGGCCCAGCGGTAGAGTGGTCACCGATTGTTGCAGAGGTTCCCATATCGACTCTGGCAGGCTGCCCTGGTTAACACTGCGTGACAATCGGCTCCGTCTGCTTGAGAGCGGACGTTCAAGATCCCGTGACAATTTTGCATGCTGACGCCAGCGTCACAAATTTTGCCGGAGTTGTAAAACTACCCGCGTACAGAACAGTGTTTACATTCATATTCTTGGTTCTTTCGGTAAAGTCACGTGGAAGGGAAATAATAAAATAATACAAATAAAACAATTAAATTCTCACGACGTTTCGATTGCAACACAAGCAATCATCATCAGGTGTGAAAAATCACAGCAATAATTTTTTTGGAAAAAAGTGGCGGTTTTTTCTTAACGTTAGCACCACGGACAGCGACTGGCGGTTGTTCAGACGGACGAGTCCATCTATGTTCGGAACGGAGGAGGGGGGAGAGAAAGAGAATGGAATGCGGTCTGAAAATCACCGTAAGCGTGAACAAAATCAATAAAGACCCGAAATGGTTTATCACATGCTTCCAATGATTGCTAAGCCATAATCCATCATCTCGGTTGAGTTTGTCTCCTGCAGTCACGAAAGCTTTAAAACGAGTATTTGCTTTATTTAATAATCACGTAACAATCGTCAGCCGCCGCCACCCTGATGTGAAAACCTGGGAGGACCTTCCTTAATAACAATCTTGACACTCAAGTGACAATCCTCTGGTGTGGTGACAACAACAATAATCCTCGTCTTGTCTGTCCCAGGATAACTTCCCCCTGGCCAGCCTGCCCGTGCTGGGCTACAGCATAACGCTGCCCTCCGAGTCTGATGGGATTCTCAAGGACTACGTGTTCAAGCTGCAGTTCAAGTCCCACATTTACTTCTTCAGGGCGGAGAGCGAGTACACGTTTGAGCGGTGAGACGCTTGGGCTGGGTTTCCCGCTTCGACCCTGGACGTTCCTTCTTTTGCTCTTTCACCGGAATTAAGCGCCCGATCAATCCGGTCACCCTCGCAGCGTCGACTCTTTTGGCTGGGCCATCGAGCAAAGGCGATGGTCACCGCATCGTCGCGCGCTTTCAGACGCGCTTCTGCGGCCGTCTGCGATGCTCCTCCTTCTGATATTAGGAAGCCACTAGAGCTACAGTATTCACTTTTAAGTAATCTGGAATGATAACTCACTTCTTGAGAACTGCATTTTGTGTTTAGTTTGTTGTCCTTCCCCCGCACCTCTGATTGGCAGGGTTGGCTACGTATGGTGCCAAAGAAGTGAAAAATATATACATACGAAAATGGTTTGTAAAATTGATAGGAAGGATAATCGTGCATGAGCCCTTACAACACACATATCCAATTCGTAAATACGTATATGTGTAAATGTACAAATCCATTGCTGGATGAGAGCCTCCCCACGCCATGCGGGTTGTGGAGCAGTGGGGTTATTTGATCATACCACACCGTGCAGGTCAGTGAAGGCGGGGAGCATACACGTGGAAGCATAGAAGTAGGTTACGAGAATGGATTTTGCTGCAATGAATCAGGATCTTTATTTATCCTGGAGAAATCCGATGAGCTATGAAGCTCTTTTTTTTACAGATGTCCAACGATGCTTCTCTGTTGCCCACCACGCAGCCCCACAGTCAAAATATTAATCCTTTATATTTTGTCCAAGCCCATATTCTTGTTTTTTTCGATAAAGTCACGTAGAAGGGAAATAATAAAAGAATAACAATTAAACAATAAAATCATCACGACGTTTCGATTGCAACACAAGCAATCATTAGGTGTGAAAACCACAGCATTTTTTGTTCAAAATTTTTTTGCTGTGGTTTTCACACCTGATGATGATTGCTTGTGTTGCAATCGAAACTTCGTGATAATTTAATTGGTTTATTAGTATTATTTCCCTTCTACGTGACTTTACCAAACGAACCAAGAATATGAATCCCTGCAGTCACGAAAGCTTTAAATAGAAATAGTCCAAGCCCGTTAATGCATTCAGGATGTGGTGAGTGAACTCTAAATTGTGTTAAGTTTACACGCTGACAGACTCCATCCCAGCAAAAGACAGTTGTAATGATGAAGTCATTGGACAATCAAAGAACCGCCAAACTGCGAATTGTGGTAAGGGGCCATCCATAAATGACGTCACGCACTTAGGGGGGGGGATCAGACATTTGTGACGAGGGGGGGGGGGTTTCAGAAATGTGACGTCACATCAAAATGCGCAACTTTAAATAAATATAGACAACACGTTCTACTTAATTAAATAGACTTTTTAATAAATGTTTTCTCCTACAACATCAGAGTGCAGCGCCACGTTAAATACGCACTACAATGACAATAGTTTAAAGCGATTTGAAGCATGTTTAATTTTTTTTAGGGGGGGGGGGCAGAGCTTTGTGACGTCAAATTTGAGGGGGGGTCTGACTTTTTGTGACGCCGTTTGACGAGGGGGGGGGGGGTCAAAAATCGTCCAAAATCGCGTGACGTCATTTATGGACGGCCCCTAAAGCCCAAACCATCACTCGCATCAACACCACATACCGTGGCGGGATCGCTGCAATCCATACAGCCAATGGCAGAGCCAGGATTATCAGGTGGGGGGGGGGGGCAACGCCTGCGGCAATGAAAGATTATAGAGGAGTTGTTAGTAAGGAGTTGTTAGTAAGTAAGGAGTCGTTAGTAAGTAAGGAGTTGTTAGTAAGGAGTTGTTAGTAAGCAAGGAGTTGTTAGCAAGTAAGGAGTTGTTAGTAAGTAAGGAGTTGTTAGTAAGGAGTTGTTAGTAAGGAGTTGTTAGTAAGTAAGGAGTTGTTAGTAAGTAAGGTGTTAGTGAGTAAGGAGTTGTTAGTAAGTAAGGAGTTAAATTTTGATTTAAAGCTTTCGTGACTGCAGTAATTCATATTCTTAGTTTTTTCGGTAAAGTCACGTTGAAGAGAAACAACAAAATAACAAAATATATATAAAACAATAAAAAATTCTCAGGACGTTTCGACCATAACTCAAACGGTCATCATCAGGTGTGTCGGTTTGCATAAATGTATTTTGAAAAGGCATATTTATTTATTTATATATATAAAAAAAATAACGTTTGCGTCACGCGCAACGATTGGCAGTTTGCCCAGGACTAGTCCATCTATTTTTTGAAAAGAGGAGGGGGGAGACGAAATTTGTTTTTATGTATGCTGTCTGAAAGCCACTGTAAGCGTGAACAATCAATCAAGAACTGAAATGATTTATCAAATCTTTCCAATGATTGCTAAGATAGAATCCATCTTCTCGGTTGAAATTGTCTCTGTGTTTGTATATGTGGATAGCCTCATGAACGAATCTCTCATGGAAGCCAGATGGCTTACAAAGAACCTCCGTCTTGGAAAAGTCAATGGCATGTGAGCCTACTGAATTAGAACAATGATCTGCTACGGCCGAGGTGTTGGTCCTACCGTGTTTTAGGTCTGCTTTATGTTCACGAATGCGGTCCGAGATATGGCGTTTGGTTTCTCCAATGTAACTACTACCACAGAGGCAACTTAGTTTGTAGACACCAGGGTATTGTATGTCCGGAATCACATCTTTTACAGACGGAACCAGATCACGGATTTTAAGTAATGTGTTGAAACGGACCTGGATCTTGTGTTTATTCAAGATTTTGGAGATCTTTTTTGTGATCCCAGCAATGTAGGGTAAAGTGATGGTTTTGAAAGGCTCCTCAAGAGGGTTCTTCTTCATGGTTTGAGTGATAGCTTTGCGGATTGTATAGTCGGAGTAACCATTAGCCCTAAGAGCTTGGTGTACGTGCTTGAGTTCACTGCTTATGTGTTCCTGGTCGGATATGCATTGGGCTCTATGATACAGAGTCTTGATGAGAGAATTCTTCTGTGATGGATGGTGGTGGGAATCCGGTTTCAGATAAGCATCCGTATGGGTAGCTTTCCTGTAGACAGAGTGGCTCATTGAACCATCAGGTCTCTTTTTAATTAGGACATCCAAAAAAGGTATCTTGCCATCTATTTCGACTTCCATGGTAAATCTGATGGCTGGGTGTATGGAATTGATGTGGTCGAAGAATTGGTCTAGAGCAGGCCGGCCATGTGGCCAGATGACAAAAGTGTCATCCACGTACCTCTTCCATAAGGTTGGGCGCAGAGTGGCAGTCTGGATGGCGTCAGTCTCAAATTTCTCCATGAAAATGTTAGCTATAACTGGAGAAAGGGGGGAGCCCATTGGGGTGCCCTCAGTTTGTTTGTAGAAAGTTCCATTCCAAGTGAAGTATGTATTGGTTAAACAGTGTCTCACCAGGGGGGGTACCTCAGTGTTTAGTCCTTGATGAACCAAGTCTTCAATGATTGCAATGGTGTCAGGTACAGGAACCTTGGTGAATAAGGAAACTACATCAAAACTGACAAGCAGGTCGTCTGGGGACAGGGAAATACCCTTGATTGTTGATACCAGGTGAGTAGAATTTTGTACCGCAGAGGTGGTCTTTCCAGTGAAAGGACGCAGGATTTCAGACAAAAAACGAGCTAGTTTGTAGGTGGGGGAGCTGATAGTAGAGACTATGGGACGAAGAGGTGTATCAACTTTATGTATTTTTGGTAAGCCGTATAATCTTGGTGGCCTGGCAGCAGAAGGTTTCAACGAAAACTGTTTAGAATGATCAATTAATGCGGTTGAATCAGAAATTATTTTGTTGGTTTGTGTGACGAGGCTGTTGGTGGGATCTCTTTTTATTTTTGTATAACTACCATCGTCGAGTAATTCTTTAATTTTGTTGTTGTATTCTATTTTATCCATGATGACAGTAGCATTGCCTTTGTCAGCTGAGAGAACTACAATATCATTCCTCTTTTTTAATTTATATAAAGCAGACCTAAAACACGGTAGGACCAACACCTCGGCCGTAGCAGATCATTGTTCTAATTCAGTAGGCTCACATGCCATTGACTTTTCCAAGACGGAGGTTCTTTGTAAGCCATCTGGCTTCCATAAGAGATTCGTTCATGAGGCTATCCACATATACAAACACAGAGAGAATTTCAACCGAGAAGATGGATTCTATCTTAGCAATCATTGGAAAGATTTGATAAATCATTTCAGTTCTTGATTGATTGTTCACGCTTACAGTGGCTTTCAGACAGCATACATAAAAACAAATTTCGTCTCCCCCCTCCTCTTTTCAAAAAATAGATGGACTAGTCCTGGCAAACTGCCAATCGTTGCGCGTGACGCAAACGTTATTTTTTAATATATATAAATAAATATGCCGTTTTCAAAATAAATTTATGCAAACCGACACACCTGATGATGACCGTTTGAGTTATGGTCGAAACGTCGTGAGAATTTTTTATTGTTTTATATATATTTTGTTATTTTGTTGTTTCTCTTCAACGTGACTTTACCGAAAAAACTAAGAATAAGTAAGGAGTTGTTAGTAAGTAAGGAGTTGTTGGTAAGTAAGGACTTGTCCCTTGCTTTTTACTCGACGCGTGTGCGGCGATGACGCAGCCATCGATCGAGGGTCGAATTCGAACCGCGTTGTGTGATCGGCATCGCGCTCGCTGAAGGTGAATGCCTTCAGGGAAGTCGTGGACTGTATACGCAACTGCACACAATTCTGAGTCACTTATAACTGCTTCGCCGTTACTTATTGCCAATTATGGACTATTGTCCTATCATCCCATAGAGTACATAATAATATGCTACACAGTGGCAGTGAGGGTCGCAAAATGGCGATTTATTTATATATAAGACAAATTTGTGTCTGTTCAAAATGTTTAGCATACTTCCCGACATGCAACAAACTTTAAATTTGGCATGTAGGTAGCTTCCAGACTGTACACAATGCAAAATGTATAAAAATAGACTTTTGTATTTTTTGGGGGGGGGGGGGGGCGCGCGCAATAATGCATATTTTTTGC